CCCGGTGGGAGTGACAGCAGAAAACAGCGGCCTGCTCTGCAGATTTCACCACCGGGGAAACTCATAGCCAGCAGCGCAGCCCAGCCGCCGCAGACATCCTAGCATTTGCCCCACAGGCATTTCCCGTTACCAGTCGCCGACACCAGCATCTGAGTCCCTTGCTCCTCCCTACCCCCCTTTGCTGGAGTCCAGGCCTGTGAAGCTGCATGACTGAAAGATGCCAATCTAGACCCCTGCAGCTGATGCCCAGGGCAGTGTGCATGGGGAGGAGGGACCCTTCGGCTGTGCCCTTGTATGCTGCCAGTCTAACACCTGTCACCGGCCACCACTGCAGTACCCATGCTCAGGGGGTGCCATCATGGAAGAGAACGCTGACAGTCAGGCTCCTGCAGTTGCTTGTCGACCTGGATCTGGCTCTGCCTACACGTGATGGCCAGTGTCCCTGCATTCACGGACAGATGGCCCTCCAGCTGCACAACAGCACAGTCCTGGTCCAGTTCCCATCACGGCTGCCACTGCCACGAGCCCGTGGTGAGACCCAGTTGCCAGGGCCCCTGCAGCTGCCAATCAGCCCACAGTTGGCTCTGGCCCTTGCTCCGTGCTCTGGACCCCACCCCTGCGTGTGTTTGCCACTGGCCCCGCCTACTACACTGGTACCCACAGTTACGTGTAAGCACACCCAGCTCTGGCCACCACCACTGCCTCCCTTGGACCTGGAGGTGCTGCTGAGGACCCCAGTAGCCTTTGTAGCCACTGCAGCCTGAGCCAGAGCAACATCACACCCTCTGGACTCGGTGCCATCATCACATGTCCTCGGGGACCCTGCACCACTAGACGCAGGGTCACAGCATGCTCCACCTGACCCCACCTGCAGGCGAAAGTCTCCCCTTACTGGAGTCAGTCAGTAAAGCCTGGAAGCGGTGACCGCTTCTTCAAATGCTCACACACCTAAGCAGGGCTACAGACAGCGTGAAGACTCAGGGAACCAGGACTCCACCGAAGGAATACAGCAAACCTCCGGTAAGTGGCCCCAAAGAACTGGAGATACAGGCACTGCCCAACAAAGAATTCAACAATTTGCTCTGAAGATGCCTGAGGGCTAGAAGAGAGCACAGATAAACAATTTAACAATATCGGAAAAACAATACAAGAACAAAATGAGAAGTTCAACAAAGGCTAGAGAGGATAAAGAAAAAAGAAAAAAGAAAAAAAAAAAAAAAAAGCACCAAACAGAAGTTTTGGAGTTGAAGAATTCAATAGAGAGTTTCAAAAACACACTTGGCCAAGCAAAGGTTAGCTAGAACACAGATCAATTGACATGATCCAGTCAGAGGAGCAAAAAGAAAAAGAAATATGCCGAAACTGGTTTGGCTTAGTGGTAGAGCGTTGGTCTATGAACTGAAAGGTCCCAGGTTCGATTCTGGTCAAGGGCATGTCCATTGGTTGCGGGCACATCCCCAGTAGGGGGTGTGCAAGAGGCAGCTGGTCAATGCTTCTCTCTCATCGACGTTTCTAACTCTCTCTCCCTCTCCCTTCCTCTCTGTAAAAAAAATCAATAAAATATATTTTTTTAAAAAGGAAAAAAAAGAAAAAGAAATAAAGTGTACAGGATTTATGGGACATCATTAAAAGAGATAATCTACACATCAATAGAGTCCCAGAGGAAAAAGAGACTGAGAAAGGGATAAAAAGCTTATTTACTAGGAAAGAGATGTTGGCTGAGAAGTGCACAAACTTAGGTAGATATTTGGACAGCTAAGTTCATAAAGCTAATAAGCCACCCACAAATTTCAATCCGAATTGATTTTCTTCAACATTGAATAAACCAAGGAAGAAATATTTTAGAAGAGCAAGAGAATAACGTGTTTCTCATACAAGGGAATCCTCATAAGGCCATCAGTGAGTTTCCCAGCAGACTCCCTGCAGGCCAGGAGGGGATAGGGTGCTATATTCAAAATGCTGAAAGACACCACTAGCAAGGAGTAGTTTAACCAGCCAAGTTGTCCTTCAGAAATGAAGGCAAGATAAAGACTTTCCCTAAAAAAACAAACAAATAAATAAGTAAATAAGTAAATAAATAAATAAATGATGGAATTCATCGAACTAGAATTGCCTTGTAAGAAATGCTGAAAGTAATTCTTCAACCTGAAATAACCACTCATTGGTAACATGAAAACATATGAAAATATATAACACACTGGCATAGGTATATAATCAGATTCAGAACACTGTAACACAGTAGTAATAGAGTGGTGTGTTAACCACTCAACTTTAGCACAAAGGTTAAAGGAAAAATAAAATCTATAGCTACAATAATTTGTTTAGGAATACATAATATAAGAAGATGTAAATTATGACATCCAAAATTTTAAAAGGGGGGAATTTAAAAGGCTATTTATATGAGATTAAAGTTAAATTGTTATCAGCATAAAGAAAATAGGCTCATCCTTATGTTTTCTGTAAGCTTTATGGCAAAAACTTCCAAAATTCACACAAGATAAACAGAAGGTAATTAAAACATACCACTACCTAAAATTATCAATTCACAAAGGAAGTCATCAGGAGTGGAAGGAAGGAGCACAGGAAGTATAAAATAGAAAATAATGAATAGAATGGCATTAGTAATATGTGGGTTAAAAAAAAAAAAACAGGAACTAATTATATGTTTCCTACAAAAGACTCACATCAGTTTATATATATTATTGATTTTTTTTTTACAGAGAGGAAGGGAGAGGGATAGTTAGAAACACCAATGAGAGAGAAACATCAATCAGCTGCCTCATGCACATCTCCTACTGGGGATTTGCCCACAACCAATTTACAAGCCCTTTGATTGGAATCGAACCTGAGACCCTTCAGTCTGTAGGCCGATGCTGTATTTACTTAGCCAAACCAGTCAGGGCCTCACATCTGTTTTAAAGGCAAACATAAGCACAAAATGAGGGGATGAAAAAGCTATTCTAAGCAAATGGAAATAAAAAGAGAACAGGTGTAGCTATACTTAGCCAAAACAGATTAAGCCCCAAACAGTAACAATTACAATCCAGGCACTAATATAATGATAAAGGGGTCCATTCATCAAGAACGTATAACTATTTAAATATACTAGAGACCCGGTGCATGAAATTTGTGCACTTGGTGGTGGGGTGTCCCTCCAGCCCGCACCCTCTCACAGTCTGGGACCCCTTGGGGGATGTCCACCTGCTGGCTTACGCTTATTCCCACCAGGGATCAGACCTAAGCTGGTAATCAAACATCCCTCTTGCAGTCTGGGATCCCTCGCTCCTTACCACCCGCCTGCTCGCTGCTTCTTAGTGTTGCTGTGGAGGCAGGAGAGGCTCTTGCTACAGCTGCTGCACTGTTCAGCCTGAGCCAGGCTTCTGGCTGACCACCAGGGGGCAGCTCCTGTGCTGAGCCTCTGCCTTATAAGCAATGCTGAAAGTGGGCATGTGGGCATCATAGTGACCGGTCATTCTGCCGTAACGGTTGCTTTTAAAAATCAATGTTTTTAGGTGAAAACAATCACCTTTTGATTTCCATTTGCTTAGAATAGCTTTTTCATCCCCTCATTTTGTGCTTATGTTTGCCTTTAAAACAGATGTGAGGCCCTGACTGGTCTGGCTCAGTAAATACAGCATCGGCCTACAGACTGAAGGGTCTCAGGTTCGATTCCAATCAAAGGGCTTGTAAATTGGTTGTGGGCACCTAATTCAATGCTCCAGTCTCAGCAGTCATAAAAATATATATATATATATATATATATATATATATATATAAAATCTCCAACATCTGAGCACTTAAATACATTAAGAAAATACTAACATCTGAAGGGGAGAAATAAACAATAATATGGTAAGAAGAGAGGGCTTTAAAATTCCACTTTCAACAATGGATAGATCATCCATGAAGAAAATCAACAAAGAAACATTGGACTTGAACCACACTTTAGACCAACCAGACCTAACAGACACATACAGAATACTTTATCCAACAGCAGTGGGGATCCAGTCACCCTTTTAGAATTACAGACACATCCAACAGAGTAAGATTTCTCCTTCTTCGGAATTTTGGCTCCTTCCAACCCCATACCACCTGGTGCCATCACTGCCATCAAATTTCTCAAGGGAAAGGAAAGAAGAAAGGAAGAAAGGAAGGAAGGAAGAAAGGGAGGAAGGAAGGAAGGAAGGAAGGAAGGAAGGAAGGAAGGAAGGAAGGAAGGAAGGGAGGAAGGAAGGGAGGAAGGAAAGGAGGAAGGAAGAGAGGGAGAGGAAGGAGAGAAGGAGGAAGGGAGGGGGGGAGGGAGGGAGGAAACTAGGAGATTTCTGCACTTCTTCTGAGCATCTTAAGTTTCCCTCTCCATGCATCAAACCAAAATTATAATGTTTTTTCCTGAACCTCTCTCTATCTGCATTCTAGTGCTTATTTCTAGGTTAGCCAGGGGTCTCCAGATGAAAAATAAATATCCCAGTAAACTCATCACCATCAATGTGCTTGAATTCTAGTCTTCTTTCCCAATCTGCCTGCTACTACTTACTTTCCAGTTTTTTATAGTGGCAGGGAGGAAAAAAATCAGAACCAGGAAATAGTTTTATTTATTGATAGATTGATTTTTTTATTGATTTTTTACAGAGAGGAAGAGAGAGAGACAGAGAGCTAGAAATGTCAATGAGAGAAACATCGACCAGCTGCCTCTTGCACACCCCCTACTGGGGATGTGCCCGCAACTAAGGTACATGCCCTTGGCTGGAACCGACCTTTCAGTCCGCAGAGCCAACCCGGTTTCGGCCAGGAAATAGTCTTGGGTTTTTTATCTCTGGAAATGGGTTTGCCTTTCCTTCTAATAGGCCTTTAGTGTGGAAATTCGTGTTCACCTCATTCAGAGCTGAGCTGGTGGTTTATTGGTTTATTGTCGCTGTGGTTATCTGAGAGTGCGCTAGAGACTTCCAATTCCATCTTCAAAACACAAGTACCGGTGTTTAGGGTGGAGCTGGGTTCACCAGATGATCCTTTTCCAGATGACTGCTCCAGTCTCAGCTGTGTTCTCTGTGAATGACTGGCTCTCACAGGTTACTCGCTACATGTTCCTGGTCTGGTGGGTTAGTGGGGTGGTGGTGGTTGGGGGGCCATTCTCTGTTGTTTTGATTAAGTCTGGGTCTTAGGAAGACACCATCCCTGAGTTACAGGGATGGTGTCTTAGTGATCCTGCCTTTCCTTAGATGCCCAGGACAAAGTTCCAAATCTGGTTAGTGTTTTCTGCCCTCCCCCCAGCTGCATTAAGATTTCTCTTCTGCTCTCAACCGTGTTGCTCCTCTCTCCCAAGATTAAAACTTTGTCAGTAGGAAAGAAAGGAAAGCTTCCAGTTGGAATTATTTGCCTCATCCGGAGTGGCTGCTGCCCACTCTCCCCTCTCCAGTTCTGCATCACACGGGAGACTTTCCGATCTCTAAGTATCTTCTCTCTAAGTGCTCAGTGGGATTCCTGGGGAAGAAGTCTAAAAGAGGGTATGACTCTGCCCGTAGTTGCAGCCCTTTCTTTTGCTCCAGCTATTTGCCAGTCATCCTGACTGGACTCTACTTACTGGTGCCTGGCTGGTCCTCAAGGCTCACGCTTCTCTCTCCTTGCAGGTGCCTCTCTTCCCCTAGATGCTGGCCGGGTTGGTCGCCCTTGACCTCAGCACTCTGGTGAACTCAAGAAAAGCTTTCCAGCTTTTTGTCCATGTAAGTTTGGGACTTTATTCAGCTCTCTACTCCTGTGAGCAGAAACAAAAACTCCATTTTCTTCTTAATTATTTTTAATTGTGGTAAAAGGCACACAACGTTAAGTTAATTATCCTAACTATTCTTAAGTGCACAGTTCAGTGGTGTTACGTACATTCATATTGTTGTGCAACCCTCACCACCATCCATTTGCAGAACTCTTTTCATCTTCAAACTGAAACTCCGCGCCATTAATCAGTAACTCTCCAGCTCCCTCTCCTCGGCCCTAGAATCCGCTGTTCTATTTTCTGTTTCTATGAATGTGACTTCTCTAGGAACCTCATGTAAGTGGAATGGTATAAAAACAGAGAGCATAGGGTGGTAGGTTTTTGTGTTACTGGTTTTAACAAACTGGTTTTGAAAATGCTTTCTTAAATACAGGATGCCAAGAAATTCCACAGATAAAGTGCCATTGAAGTTAAGTTTCCAAATCTCTGGCTGATGTGGCTCAGTTGGTTGGAGCATCTTCCCATACACTGAAGGGTGGTGGGTTCTATTCTTGGTCAGCGCACATACCTAGGTTGTAGTTTGATCTCTGGTCAGGGTGAATGCAGGAGGCAGCCAAATGATTGATGCTTTTCTCTCTCTCTCTCTCTCTCTCTCTCTCTCTCTCTCTCTCTCTCTCTCTCTCTCAATATCAATTAATAAAAAAAGATAAGCTTCTATTAAATAAAAGGGCTCACAGAAAAAAAATTCACACTCAGTTTAACAAAACAAGAAAAGTCAAGAGAAACCGTATAGACCCCCAAAGACTTCATATATTGGTATTATTGCATACAGAACACAAAATTAGAATGCCTAGGAGATAAATGGAAAGGAAAGGAGTTAAAAGATGGCAATTACAGCATGACTAAAGTTAAAGAGAATATAAAAATGACCAGAATGTTGAAAAGTGTATAATAGAAATGAAATATGTAACTGAAGTAAAAAACAAATAAAAAGAATCATTTAGAGCCAGAGGAAAAAAATATTTTAGACTACAATAGAAGTAATCCTGTTATTTTCAGATTTTTTTTTTAATATTTCCTACAACTTGTATGATATTATACTATGTCAATACAGTTTTGGTAATGTTATTAAATTTAAAATATTTTTTCTTGAAACGTTAATGTTTATTGCATGTAATATTATATTTTAAAGAAAATATTAATGTTTACTGCATGTAAAAAAATAAGATAAATTTAAAAAGAACAAAAAAGACTGACAATCCTTGGAGGGGAAAGGGGTGTGGAGGGTGCGGGAAGAGACTAGACAAAAATCATACACCTATGGATGAGGACAGTGCAGGGGGAGGGGGGGAGGTAAAGCATGGGGTGGGGTGGGATCTGAATGGAGGGGAGCTATGAGGAGGGAAGGAGAGGAACAACTGTAATAATCTGAACAATAAAGATTTAAAAATTTAAAAATTAAATAAAAAGAAAAGAAAGAAAAAGAATAATTTGACTAGAGTAGCAACAGAAGCCTAAAGACAGTAGAAATGTATTTTCAAAGTTCTGATAGAAAATAACTGTTAGTCTAGTTCTGAATACCCAGTGAAACTTTAAAAAAATCAACAAATTTTCCTAGCTTTAATGAGATGTTATTGATAAATAAAAATTGCATATATTTAGGGCCTACATCATAGTGATTTTATATGGCATATATTGTGACATGGTCACAGCAATCAAATTAATTAACATTTCCATAACCTCCTATAGTCACCTCTTTCTTTTGTGTGAGAACATTTGAGTTTTACTCTCTTGTAAAATCTTCCAGTATATAAAGTATTGCTAACCACAGTCACCATGCTGTAATTAGACCCTAGAACTTATCTTATAACTGAAGGGTGTACACTTTGACCAGCATCTCCACATTTCTCCCATCCCCCAGTCTCTGGCAAGCACCATTCTGGTATCAGCTTCCACTTTTTAAGATTTCATATATATGTGATATATATAAATGTGATCTATATCACGTTTTCTTTATCCATTCATCTATTGATGGACACTTAGGTTGTTTCCTTATCTTGGCTATTGTGAGTAATGCTACAATGAATAGGAGTAAAGATATCTTTTCAAAACACTGATTTTATTTTTTCCCCTATGTACCCAGAAGTGAGATTGCCAGATCAAATGGTAGTCCTATTTTAAAATTTTTGAGGGAATTCCAGACTGTTTTCGAAAAACAGGCTGTACCAATTTATATCCCCACTAACAGTGTACAAGAGTTTCATTGCCATCAAAACAGGTTTGGCTTAGTGGATAGAGCATCGACCTGCAGACTGAAAGGTCCCAGGTTTGATTCCAGTCAAGGGCATGTACTTTGGTTGCAGAAACATCCCCAGTAGTGGGTGTGCAGGAGGCAGATGATCGATGTTTCTCTCTCATTGATGTTTTCAACTCTCTATCCCTCTCCCTTTCTCTCTGTAAAAAATCAACTAAGTATATATTTTTTTTTAAAAAAAGAGTTTCCTTGCCAACACTTGTCATTTTTTATCCTATATAATAAAAGGCTAATATGCAAATCGATTAAATGGCAGAACAACCAGTCACTATGATGCACATTGACCACCAGGGGACAGACCTGGTGGTCAATGCAGAAGCTGCCCCCTGGTGGTCACTGCACTCTCACAGGGGGAGCACGGCTCAGCCAGAAGCCAGGCTCATGGCTGGCAAGCACAGCGTCAGTGGCAGGAGCCTCTCCTGCCTCCGCAGCAGCTCAGGGAGTGGGCCTAAGCTGTCAATTGGACATCCCCCAAGGGCTTCCAAACAGGCACAGGCCAGGCTGAGGGATGCCCCACCCCCAGTGCACAAATTTCATGCACTGGTCCTCTAGTCTTTTGGATAATAGTCATTCAAACAGGTATGAAATAATAGGTCATTGTGGTTTTGATTTGTATTTGATTAGTGATATTAAACACCTTTTCATGAACCTGTTGGCCATTTTATGTCATCTTCTTTTTTTCAAACCCTCATCTGAGGATATGTTGAGAGTGATAGAGAGAGAGGAACATTGATGTGAGAGAAGCATTGATTGGCTGCCTCCCATACATGCCTCCACTGGGGATCAAACCTGAAAGCTAAGTATGTGCCCTGACCAAAATCAAACCTGCAACCTTTTGGTGTATGGAATGCTGCTGCAACCAACTTAGCCATCTGGCTAGGGCTCTAATTCTTCTTTTGAGAAGTGTCTATTTAAGTGCTTTTCCCATTTATTAATTAGTTTGTTTTCTTACTATTGAATTTGAATTCCTTATATATTTTGGATATTAACACCTTATTGGATATGCAATTCATAAGTATTTTATCTCATTCTGTAGGTTGTCTCTCTTTTTTTTAATATATTTTATTATTTTTGTACAGAGTGGAAGGGAGAGAGATAGAGAGTTTAAAACATCAATGAGAGAGAGTCATTGATCAGCTGCCTCTTGCACACCCACTACTGGGGATATGCCTGCAACCAAGGTACATGCCCTTGACCGGAATCGAACCAGGGGCCCTTCAGTCCCCAAGCCAACGCTCTATCCATTGAGCCAAACCGGTCCCGGCTGTAGGTTGTCTCTTGTTGTTTGTTTCCTTTGCTGTGCAGAAGGTTTTTCGTTTGCAATACTGTCTATTTTTGCTTTTGTTGCCTGCTTTTGGGTCATCCAAAAAAATAATTGCCTAGACCCATGGTCGGCAAACTGCGGCTCGCGAGCCACATGCGGCTCTTTGGCCCCAAAGAATGTGGCTCTTCCACAAAATACAATGGCCTGGGCAAGTCTATTTTAAAGAAGTGGCATTAGAAAAAGTTGAAGTTTAAAAAATTTGGCTCTCAAAAGAAATTTCAATTATTGTGCTGTTGATATGTGGCTCAACTGACTAATGAGTTTGCCGACTACTGGCCAAGAAGCATTTGCCTATATATTTTCTAGTAATTTTAAAGTTTCAGGTATTGCATTTAAGGCTTTAGGGGACGTTGAGTTAATTTTTGCATTTATTATGGCCCAATTTCATTTTTCTAAACATGGATATCTAGTTTTCCTAATGCCATTTACTGAAGAGATTATACTTTCCACTTTCTGTGTTCGTGGCACCCTTGTCAAAAATCATTTACTATAAATGTGTGGATTTAATTTGGGGCTTTATATTGTGTTCCATTGGTTTATATGTGTGTGCATTTTGTGTTTGTCAATGCCATACTATGTTTTTTTAAAAAAAAACCATACTGTTTTGATTACTATAGCTTTGTAATATATTTTGAAATCAGGAAGTATGGTTCTTCTAGTTTATTATTTTTGCTGAAAATTGCTTTGTCTATTTAGGGTCTTATGTGGTTCTACATGAATTTTACGTGTATGTTTTTTCTATTTCTGTGAGAAATGTCTTTGGAATTTTGAAAGGGATTTCATTGAATCTATATCATGTTGGGTAGCATAGATATTTAAACAATATTAATTCTTCTAACATATGAATGTGTGGTATCATTCTATTTTGTGTGTCTTCTCTCATTTCTCTCATCACTGTTTTGTAGTTTTCAGTGTACAGCTCTTTCATTCCTTGCTTAAATTTATTTCTAAGTATTTTATTGATTTTGATCCTATTAGAAATAATTTTGTTTTTTCAATTTCCTTTTTTGATAGTTTATTGATAGTGTATAAAAACAGAATTGATTTTTTGTTGGTTGATTTTGTATTTTGCAACTTAACTGAATTTTGGGTTTTTCTATATATACTAGAGGCCTGATGCATGGATTCATGCACTGGTGGGGTTCCTCGGCCTGGCTTGTGCAGATCGGGCCAAAATTGGTAGTCCAACATCCCCAAGGGGTCCCGGATAGAAACATCAATGATAAGAGAATCGTTGATCGGCTTCCTCCTGCAGGCCCTCTACTGGGGACCGAGCCCACAACTTCAGGCATGTGCCCTTGACTGGAATCAAACCCAGGACCCTTCAGTCTGCAGGCTGACACTCTCTCCACTGAGTCAAACTGGCTAGGGTAAATTCAGTTTTTAACAGATAATTAAAATGACCTGTCTTTAAGTCTAGCAATCTTTCTTCTGCTTGACCAAGTCTGTTTTTGAATCCCCTCTAGTGAATATTTCAGCTTATTTATTGTATTCTTCATCTGCAGTATTTTTGTTTTGTTCTTTTTTAATCATTTCTATTTTTTTTTGATGATATTATCATTTTGTTCATATGTCATTTAAGAACATTTTCATTTGGTTGTGAATCTGTGTTATAACTAAGTTTTTAAAAATAATTATTTTGGCATTTTTGTTAGCCAATTTTAAGACCTCCATTTTTTTTTTTAAGTTGGTTACTGAAATTTTGTTTTCTTCCTTTGGATGTGTCATGTTTTCTTGATTTTTCATGTTCCTGTAAGTTTATCTTCTTTTCTGCACATTTGAAGAAGTGGCTGCCTCTCCCAGCCTTTATGAACTTTATGGTTTTGACTGAGAGAGACTTTTACTGGTCAGTAGTACTTGATCTAAAGCAACATAGGGTCCAACTCTGCAGGAAGTACATGATAGAACTAGGGGCTAGACCCCTTTCATTTCTTCCTTCCTTCCCAGAGAAAAAGCCTCAATTCTGTGCTTTTTCCAATCTTACAGAGCAGTGCCTCCTGTAAGAGGACACCTCCTCCTTCCTTCGTTGTTAGCTGTCTCAGTGCTTGGTATATTTGATCACTATATACTGATAAAAAAAAAAAAATTCAACCCACCAGGAATTCATTCATATTTACCTAAATCAATAGAATCACGATATCATAAGCAAACATCAATGGAATTACAGGCATAAACTGAAAGATCCATGGCTGTGTGAAGAGCCCTCAATACACTTTTCTCAATTGTTGATTAGTCAAAGAGAACAAAAATTAGAGAGATTTAAGACATTTAAGCTACACACAATGGAGATACACCATGCTCTGCACTGAGAGACTGCCCCTCCTCAGCATCAGAATGTAGGTTACTGAGTAGGAGTAATTTAGAAGGTTATGTCTTTGGGGGAGGCAGCTACCTACTCTGTCTGAGTTTAAGGCAAAGTCTGGTAAAGAGACACCCAGAGCTAATTATCCTCTTCAAGGTCTCCTGCCTAGTGGCTGAGGCTAAAAGCATGTTCGCGGTCGAGTAGCCATGCAGCAGAGCCCACCATGATATTGGGATGAGGAAGATGTGAACAAGGAGCTTTCATGCATGGAAACAAAACAAGACTTTGAGGCAGGGTGTGTTCCCAGTGGGGGAGCAAGAGGGGATCATGATGGGGCCTTACCTGTAGTTTTCAAAGATTGTTAACCTGGACATTCACACTGTTCCCCCAGCTCCTTGACATCTGTAGATCCGTCAGTTGCAAAACGGTCCTCGATTTATTGCAAAGAACAACCTCTGACACCTGGGGAAAGATAGAGTGTGAAGAAAAATTATCAGGGGGAAAAAAGGAAGCCAAAGAGAAAGATACCTACGTTCAGCTGAAGCACCAGCTGGCTCCACTCAGACAAGCACAGTTTGTGAGAACCAGTGGGAAGGAGCCTGCGTGGCTGGAGTTCGTGGCATGATGAGTGACAGCTGCACTGATAAACAGTAAATACATATAGATAAAAACCACCTTCATAGCTGGACATTTTAAAACACGTTTTCTTCTTCTTGAACTCCTATTTCCATTCCTCTTGCTTAGACCTTTCATCTAATGCAGTGTTTCTCAACCTTCCTAATGCTGCGACCCATTAATACAGTTCCTCATGTTGTGGTGACTCCCAACAATAAAATTATTTTCGTTGCTACTTCATAAATGTAATTTTGCTACTGTTAATGAATCATAATGTAAATATCTGTGTTTTCCAATGGTCTTAGGTGGTTCTCAACCTGTGATTCTAATGGAATATAATCTTAAAACTTTTTTATTCATGACTTTGCATACTTTTATGCAAGAAAAACATGCATATAAGTTACACTTAAATGTTTACATCTACTGGGATAATAAGACTCTAGGAATAATTTTTTTCTTATGGTTTTATTTTTTGTTCCATTTGTTATTTAAATACCATAATAATAATGAATATATAAATAAATACATTGAAACTATTAATAAATATATAAAATGTTATTGATAAACAAAATTCTGTAGGTAACTGATGCATAGCTCAATGATATGTAAGTTCATGGGAGTAAAATTTTATTATTGGTATGTCACTTGGTTTTTTTTTAACTTTTAGTAAGTTACAAAAAGTCTCATAATTTCTATAATAAAAATATTTTAAATATCTAATTTAAATATTAATCAATTCGATTAATGTCTCTTCTAATTTTTATAAAGGCATACAATGGAAAACTTTATACTTAAAAAAGAATTTTTTCCTAATAGTTAGAATACTGATCACAAATCACAAGTGATTTTCTTTTTTTTAATATTTTTATTGATTTCAGGGAGAGGGAGAGAGAGAGAGACATCAGTGATGAGAGAGAATCACGGATTGACTGCCCACTAAAACCTGGGCTTGTGCCCTGACCAGGAATCGAACTGAGACCACTGAGCCACACCATGCTTTACATGTCTATGTCTATGACGTGAATACTATTACTATTCCCTTTGTGAAAAACGAGGCTCCGCGAGGATAAGTGACCGAGCTGAGACCACATAGCTGGTAAGAGGGGGGTTCAGGATATGAACTCAGGTCCAAGTCCAAACACTAAGTTTTGCCATTCCATACCCCTTCATGAATACTCTTCACACTATCTCACCCACTCCTCTCATCGACAACAGAGCTGCTAGGCAGGTGGTATTACTGCCATTTTCTAGATGAGGAAACTGAGGACCCAAGGTACAGCTACAGCTATAAATGACCAAGCCAGGACCAACTGTGTCTTGGGCCATATTCCCATTACTGAGCAGTCCAGGCACTGTTGTAAAATTTTGGAAGGATACAAGATTCTAATTCTGAAAAACAATAACCACAAAAACATTGTCACAGGTCTTGATTCTTAGGCAGCCACTTAGGATATCTGGCAAAGGTTCCATCCCTCTCTTAATGTCTGAAGTTCTACCAATAATACAGATGCATATATGGCATAAAGACATATTCATTCTCCTCTCTCTCTCTCTCTCTCTCTCTCTCTCTCTCTCTCTCTTTTTCATTCTCTCTCTCTCTCTCTCCCCTTCCCTTCCTTCTTCCTCCCTCCCTTTGTCTCTCTCTTGCTGTTTTTGAAATACGTTTACTCTAAGAGAGCTAATACAGTAAGGCATTAGCAGTTCTTCCCATCATAAAAATTTAAAAATACTAATGGCCAGGAAGAGACCTAGAAAATGGTGGTGTGAGTGAGTAGGAAAGATCATCTGTTTATGTGCTTGTCTGGATCACAAGTTCCCAGGCTGGGATAACACCAGAAGGAACAAAAGAGATCCTTTTGTTACCCCCAGGTCACCTGGATCATTGTCCTCCTCAGACTGAGTGCCATACGCCCAGGCTCTCCTGAAAATCTCCATTTCTTGTCATGAGTGGGACAAAGAAAAGTGCTCCCTCGTGCCTGGGATCACCCCGGGAGTGACTGTGGGCAAACTAGCCTTGCAGCTGCTCCAGATGACCCGCTGGAATCATTCACATGTGGCCTCTCACTCAGAGTGAGACAATGGCCGACGACTGTCTGAGTAGATCACATACAGAACATGGGACAGTGTGGGACTGTGGGGAGAGCCCTGGGACTGAAGGTCCTGTCCTACTTGCCATGTAGCCTGTAAATGAAGGGAATTGGTGGATTATTTCTAAGGTTCATCCGCATGTGCTTTGTGTGTCTCTCTCTGGCTCGTGCCTAACCCTGCCCCTCTTCTCATCCACACAGGCCTGTTCCTCGGCACACCGCCTCAGTCTCCGGGAGGAGCAGAGCCCTCCTGCTGCTCCTCTCCCTCTCGCTGGAGTTGATATTTGCGTCACTGCACCATAGAGTCAGAGGTGGGTTCAGAAAAGCGGTCGCCGCTCATCCTTAGGGGACATTCTGAGGGTCTGAGGGTTAGACGCGAGGCCAGGACTTGTGTTGGATGAAGCCACTTCCCCTGTGGTTTCAGAGAACAAGCCCTCCTCGCCCACTCTGGGCCCTTCAGGTCCTTCCCTCACCTGCTCCCTAAAAATTATTTCCCTAGCTTTTCCTGATATGTGTTTTTTTTTTTTTTTCCAAGTTTAATTTTAAAAAATTAATCAGTCACTACACTGGAGCCTGAGGCCAGAGGACCAGTGAGGAGGCTGCTGGAATAGTTAAGAAAGATCAGAAGAAGTTGTAGTAAAGAGGGAGAAGGGAGGGTGTTGAAGAGTCAGGAGATTGAATCTGCCCAAGTCCATGATTGACAGGATTCGAGGCTGATGGAAAGGGAGGAGCTTATTTCATGGGGACCATTGCTGCCAAATGTCAAAATGGGAACAGACAGAAGCACTGTTTGGCACTGGGAGACACCGGCTGTTTTTAAACATCTTGCACCGGAGGTCCTTATGAGATGCTCAAAGGTCATTGTCCCCAGGCAGTTGGATATAAGAGTCTTAGCCTGGAAGAGAGGAGAGGATGGGGGAGAGAAGGGAATTGAAGTTGGGATTGTCACGGGAATGGATGTGTCATCAGGAAAGTAATGACAGGAGAGGGCTGAGACCAGAACTTTGGGGACCATTCCCAAAAATAGCTCCTCTGGGGGGTGTATCACAAAGGAAACCGTACACACAGGTAAGTGGCTGAGAAGGGCTGACAGGAAGGAAGGAGGATTGTAAGTGAGAGTTCAAGCTGAAAGTGAGGTAAAGGGCTACCATGACTGAAACCCCAAAAAAGGTTTAAATGGCCCCCAAAACAGGGAGCAGGAAGAACTGGCTGGAGTCAGCACTAGTGAGAGGGGGAGTTTGTTTTCATAATCCCGAGGTTTTTATGCATCTTTACCGCTTTGGAGGTGTTCTGTGCGATTTGCTTAGTTCTGTGCCCAAACCTAGAGCCCTGGTTCCCAATCAGTAGCCTACATCATGGTGACCCGCTGGCTGCTTCGGGATCACCTGGGAACTTGAAAAAATCTGAGTCCCTGGGCCTCACTTTCTAGACATTGTGATTCAGTTCATGGTCTATATTTGCTAAGTGATGCACAGATGAGTTTGATGTGCACTGCAGGTTGGGAACAATATGCTCTTCTTAGCTTCAGGCTATCCTTGGAGGGATATTAAGGGTGGAATGAGGGGTAAGAAATATTGTTGGAAAATATTATAAGTCTGCGTGGCCAGTCCTCATGGGAGATGTGGGAACCTCTGCAGTGAGCCATGGATTAGAAGTCCCAGACCCCCCTCTAATTCACTGTTATATACCTGTATTCTCCCCTTACTGTTTTTAAGCCTATGAAATTAGGAAGTTGATGCTAATGGTTATTACAGTGCTTGTACTTCTCAACGTCTATAGTTCCAAGACCCAGAATTGTTTACAAAAGAATCATGCCTCTCCGGTCAGGTTCCACTGGAGAAGCGCCGAGCATGAAGCAAAATTAAGCATTGTTGCTGCGTAACCAATTACCTGTAGGAAGAATGAGGGCCCTCTGCTCAGGTTCTGACCAGGCTGACATCAAGGTGTCAGCCAAGGCTGCTGTTGTCTTCTGGGACTTTCCCAAGCTTGCTGGGTGTTAGCAGAATCGTTTTCTTGCAATTGCAGAACTGAGGTTTTCGTACTGGCTGTCATCTTAGAGTCCGCTCTCATCCCTTGGCACTTAGCCTCCTCCAGCTTCAAAGCTACGAATGGCATAATGGATTTGTGTTATAGTTTAGATCGTTCTGGTCTCTTTTTCTCTACAAATTATGGGGGGTGGGGGGTCTTCTTTTTAAGGACTCCAGAAATTGAATCAGGCCCACTTAAATAATCGATGTATCTTAAGGTCAACTGACTTGAGACTTTAATTCCCTTCACAGCAGTGTCTAAATGAGTATCGGATCCAATAACTAGAGGATCCGAATCCTGTGAGTGTAACTTTGGAATTCTGCCTCATACAAGAGCTGAGATAAGGAAGCCATAGCTTGCTCTAAATAGTAAGGAAGTAAAGTCATATGTGCCAAGCGCTTACTCTGTGCCAGGCACTGTGATAAGTATATTATAGACACCATCCCACTTCATTTTTTTAAGCAGCCTACAAGGCAAATATTGTAATTCTCATTTTACAGATGGGGACATTGTAACACAAACAAAGGAAGACATTTTCTCCAAGATTATTTAAGTGGTTGTGTTGAGTCAAACTCCCAAGCCAGATCTGTCTTGTTTATAGTACTTCGTCCACTCCCAACATTTCCTTCCCTCTTATAGGAAACTGTGAATCGTATAGTGGAACTCAGGTTGGTCTTGAACTTACAGAGAATTAGGGGCTAAAATCAGACCTCCTGACTCCTATTTCCATATTTCTACTACTCCCCATGAATTAATTCCCCGTGTCAACTAAGATACTAGAGACAGGAATTGGGCATTAAAATATTAAGGTTTGAGAGGAGAGAGCTCCTGAATGGAGGGCAAAGATCTTGGTTCCCATTAAACGCTCTGCCCTGAAATCCAAGAAGCTTCCCCTTTAGTTCTATATGAGCACACATTTCTATCTCATATCTATCTACATGGGCTGAGAGTGGTGAGAGGCAGACCCCATCCCTAAATATACCCAGCAAGGGCTGAAGATGAAAAGCAGAGGACTGGGTTTCACTCTTCCCTTTGCTATGGCAGAAGAGCTGAATCTCTCATGGGTTGTTTGTGAATTCAGACCTACCTTTCTTGCAGAGAAACAAGGCAAGTGCCCCAGAGAGAGACTCAACTGTACCACTGAACCTCGAAACGTGTGTGAAGGGGATTATGGCTGTGAACAACACTTTAAGTGCTGCCAATTTGCCTGTGAGAAGAGGTGCATGGATCCATACGAAGGTAGTGGCTTCCACACTGAAGGCAGAGGTGCCATTGGAGGTGCTTTACTTCTGACTGGTCCAGAACTGGCTGAACATTCCCTAGGATGGCAGAATAAAGAGGCCAGGGTTTTGCATCTTCTCGAATTAGACTCCCACCTTCCAAGTGCATGCTCACTGTGTGTCTAGAGACTATTGTTTGCACAGTCCCAGATATAAGCCTTGGTCAGCTTAGACGCTGGTGTTGTTATTGGACTTTTGGCCCCCGAGGAAGCTTTCTGGTAACTCAAGCTATTAAGCATCTAATAATAGGGAGCTCTGCATTTTATGTAAATCCACTCAACAGATATCTATTGTCCATGTCTTTTGGCCAAAGTCCACCAGGACACACCTATAATTGAACAAGTTGGGTTTATTACTCAGTGTAGCCAGGGAGAATGTTCACCATACACAGCCTGAGGCATCTCACTAAGAAGCTGTTAGAAAGAATCTACTGTAGGATTGAGGTTTTGATAGGGTGATTTCAGGAATAGTCTAAGGCAGTGGGGGTTGGCTCTAGATTGGATCCTATCGGAAAGAGTGGCAATTCTCGGTGAATCTTATCTACAGAGAGGACAGGCTAGAATGAGGATAGAGTATAGTCAGTGGAAAAACATAAATCACTCAAAGGTGCTTGTTATTTTGTGGATTTCACAGTGATTTTTATTTTTTGGTTCAATTTACACTGGTCTCAGAGGGGCCTTGATTGATGTGGATATTCTGTGAGATTCTTTATGTCCTACAGAGAAACAACATGACTTAGCTGTGAGCCGCAGGTAAGTTTTCAGTCACGAGGGGGTGCTTTTTTTCCTTTCTCAGTATTTTAATGCCCCTATGTGTCAGGCACTGTCTTGGGTACTCTGGATATATTTGGATAGTTGTTGAATGAATCTTACCCTCCCAAAGCTCAGAGAAGTAGAAAGATCAGCTCCAAAGCATTCCCATGTACTCTTCGTGACACCCTTTGCAAGGCAGAATGATGCTCAGAGATGCTATTCACTGCAGAGCATTCGTACAGAACGAAGACTAGAACTTTGGTTGACCATGGCTCTTTCTATGACTTGAATGGTAACACCATGAACTATAAAAATGCTGAAGGCTTAACCCCTTCCTGCTTTTGCTATCTTTTATGTTCTTCCCTCTTTGCTTCTTGCCCTCAGAACCCTGCATGCTATCATTAGATTCAGGAAACTGTAAGAATTTCAATAAGCGCTGGTATTATGATATTAAACATTATGTCTGCAAACCTTTTAAGTATGGAGGCTGTGATGGGAATAGCAACAACTTCCTCAGCAAAAAAGACTGCATGAAGGCTTGCTCATTAACTGGTAAGACTCATATCCTTGGCAATCTGAGGGCCTACTGTAACTAGAAACAAAGAACCCACGCTGCTATAGGCTCAGACTTTGAGGTTACCTGAAGCTCACAAATGCCTCACATTTAACTTGTCTAAAATTGAATACCTTAATTCTCCCATCTCAAACCTGCTATATCCATAGATCTCCCCATCTTAGTTGTAAAACAAAACAAAACACCACCACCAAACACCTAAATCACCCATGATATCTTCTTACTTTCTCAATCAACATCCCTTGAGTTGGGAAAATAGATCCAGGATCTGACTGCTTCTTCCTTCCTCCACAGCTGTTACCCTGGTAGGAGGTGTCCTTTTCTCACCTGGATATGGCTTCAGCCTACTCCCAGTCTCCATGCTTTTATCCCTCCCCTTTTACAATCTATTATCAACACAATAGCCACAACGATCCTTTCAAAATGGGAATCAGATCCTGTCACTCCTCATTCAAAGTAAAACCAAGTCCCCGAAAATGGCTTACATTGATTTGTGTAGATCTCACATAACTACTTCTATTTTACTGGTATAGGAGAAACTGAAGTCACTCATTAAGTGGCAGGACTGGGGCTTTACCTTGGGGCTTTAAACACCAATCCTAACTCTTTTTTTACTGCATCCCATAAAGTGTGAGGCATTTCCTCCCCAGCCCATTAGACGTAGGCAGAATGAGCCAAGTCACAGAGATACTAGTTTTGAAGAGAAGGAAAAAGCTGCTTGAGGGTGGGGCAATGGGGTGGGGTTTTAAGGAGCTCATATTTGCTCTTTTTTAGTCAAGACAGGACAGTGCCCACTCTTTCCTTCCAAGGACCGTATGCAATGCTCAGCTTCGTGTAACAGTGACCATGATTGCTCTGAAAATGAAAAATGTTGTGAATCCATGTGTGGCTTTGTTTGTTCCGTCGCCTGGATAGGTGAGCACTGGGTATGTCTCCCAAAGTATAGGGGCTTAGGGTGCCATGCTGGGTCTGAAATTAACCTTATAGTTCTCTTGAGAATCTTTCCCCCTGTAATGCCCAAACCATGCTCTCATGTTGCCTTCCTGAAAGATAAAAGCTGTGATATTTTTCACATGATCTCCCTCATTTGTGGATTATAATGAACAACATAATAAACTGATGAACAAAAACAGACCCAGAAACAGAGAAGCATTGATCAGATGCTCAAACCTCAGAGGGAAGATAGAAGAGGGTGGGAGTAAGAGGGAGAGATCAACCAAAGGACTTGTATGCATGCATATAAGCCTAACCAATGAACAGAGACACCAGGGGGGAGAGGGAGTGGGGTGGGGTGGGCAATGGGAGGAAAAGGACCCATATGTAATGCCTTAATCAATAAAAAAATAAAAATTAAAAAATATTTTTAAAATTTTCCATTTACATTTTTTAAAAAGCTGTGGTATTTTTTTTTTATCATGAAGTATTTAAAGGTTAAGTATCTATTGTATCCCATAAAGTCAAAACAGGCTTCTGCCCACAAAAACCCACATGTTTGAGGATTGATAAACCCCAGTGCCAGAAAGATGAGGATTGCCAGTTAGGAGAGAAGTGCTGCTCACGTTGTGGACTGAAGTGCCTGGAACCTTTCGTCTAGGTAGTAAGTAAAAAATATTTTCCTTTTTACAAATGTATTTATTGATTTTGAGAGAGAGAGAGAGAGAGAGAGAGAGAGAGAGAGAGAGAGAAAGCAAAATATCAGTTTGTTGTTTCACTAAGTTGTACATGATTCTTATATGTGCCCTGACCCCATGCTTCGTAGAATTTCTTTTTTTCAGACATCTTGGAATGAAAGAATTTGGCTGCTACTATTTTTATTATAAACTAGAGGCCCGGTGCATGAAATTCGTGCGTGGGGGGGGGGGGTGTCCCTCAGCTCAGCCAGCACCCTCTCCAATCTGGGACACCTCGAGGGATGTTAAACGGGCAGTTGGACATCCCTCTCACAATCCAGGACTGCTGCCTGCCTGCCTTCCTGATTGCCCCTAACTACTTCTGCTGCCAGCTTGATCACCGCCTAACTACTCCCATTATAAATTTTTTATTATAATTTTTTTTACATCTGTTTTCCCCCTTCGTAGGCTATTAATACAGATACTATTGCTCTTCTCCCTCTGGAATTCCCTTCTAAAAGCTGAGCGTTAGAGGACAATGTTCAATCATTTCATGCTCTAGGAACTGGTACATGGGATTGAGGACATCACTGGTGAACCATTGATCTAGCAGGAGGATGATACACCTGAAGCAGTTGCTGCCAGGCTAAGAAAGTATAAGGATGTGGCAAAGCCAGTCATTAAACTATACAAGATCCCAGGCGTGTTCTACCAATTTTCTGGAATGGAGACCAACAAAATCTGGCCCTGTGTTTACATGCTTTTCTTGAACAAGATCACACCTATACAGTCCAAAGAAGCATATTGAGCCTGCCCAACGGAATAACTAGAAAGATGTGGTTGTTCTTTCTATTGTATGTGTAGTTTTGGTGTCGTGTCCCAGTTAGAAACTAGCTGATCTGGCTTGCAGTGTCTTCTAGTATAAATGGTGAACTGATATGAAAACTAGTAAGAAGAGTTAATGAGGAGGCTCTTAACTGCCTTTCAAAAGAAGGGTCACTTACACATGTTGAAGATATCTCTGCACATGTGTCAAGCCATTCACAAGGAAGTAAATACCAGCTGCATTTCAAACGTGTGTAACCCAGCCCTAGTGGATCTGACAGTCATGCTGTTGCCATAGTGGCCATGATGGTGGTGGTCTCTCTCTCTCTCTCTTTTTTTTTTTTTTTTTTTTTTTTTTTTTTTTTTTTTAAGAGAGAGTGTGGGGAAGGAGGAGAGGGAGAGAAGCATTGATGTGAGAGAGACACGTTGATTGGTTGCCTCCCAATGTACCTGACTTGGATTGAGTCCATAGCTGAGGCACACAGCCTTAATTGGGAATCAAACCCTAGATCCTTCGATCTACAGACCGACACTCAAACCACTGAGCTAAACTGGCCAGAGCTGAAATAATCTTGTTTATGTGAATTTGTGTTTTCAAGTACCTACAGGGATTAATCAGGAAATTCAAAAGGGACTGTTTGGTACCTTTCTTTAGTTTGAGCTCTCCATTCTTTTAAAAAATATATATTTTATTGATTTTTTTTTTTTTTAAAGAGAGAAAGGGAGAGGGAGAGAGAGTTAGAAACATCGATGAGAGAGAAGCATCACCAGCTGCTTCCTGTGCACCCCCTACTGGAGATGTGCCTGCAACCAAGGTACATGACCTTGACGGAATCGAACCTGGGACCCTTCAGTCTGCAGGCCGACACTCTACCCACAGAGCCAAACCAGTTAGGGCTCTCCATTCTTATTAATAGATGAAACAGTTATTTGCTGGCTCCTGGGATTTTTGCTTTTGACGCTCTTGGTGCCGAGACAGGAAATGGGTTTCCTGGTGTTAGTTGCACCCTGTGCATGCAGAGGGCACGTGTCTCAACACTGCCACATTACAGGATCCAAGGAGGCATCTGCATCTACCTGATGGATTTCATGTTTTACCTTTTATTTAAGAGACAGCATCTTTTCTTGCTGCAGTTAATTTTGCCAGCAAATGAGTCATTTTCACAGTATGAATTGCTTTCTTTCTCTTCCGCTCCATTTTTAGGAACTTCCTTATTGATTTGGTTTCTCAAAAGAAGAACCCAGTGACGGAGACTTCTATTGGAACAGAAACGTGGTCTGGTCATAAGTTCTCCTCCCTTTTCTGTACATAACCCAGCCAGTTGGGTTTACAAAGGGAAAGAGTGCAAGACCCAGGTGTTGGGAAACCAGGAAGCCCTATTTCAACTACAAAGAAAGACCTGCTTCCTGCATCTGCTGCGATGTGTTAGAATGATGATTATTTATAAATACCATCCCGTATCTTTCCTTAACAAATCGCACACTTCTGGCCAAAACAAGCGCTGTTATCTGTATGCTTCTGCAAATTCCCCAACGTAGTTAGTGTGTGTGTGTGTGTGTGTGTGTGTGTGTGTGTGTGTGTGTGTGAAAAGAGTGAGAAAGAGGTAGAGATAATAAAGCATTTCCAAAAGGGAGAAAGTTTTTGTGTGGCATAGATAGTCCTTTCTTCCTTAGTGATAATTAGGCTGTTCCAGGAGGCATCATTCTTGAAATAAAAGGTTCTCTGTGTAAAACTTTTCAAAGGAGCAGTGCACCCAGGAGATTCTCCCCGGCGTTAGTACGTGTCTAACTCCATTTCATTAAATCTTTCTTTTCTTTGTTTTAAACTTTGGCTGTAAAGACAGAAATGTACTAAATAGGAACGAACTGGTTTGTATTTAACTTGGAGAAGAGTAAAGGGGGAAAAAAAACAAACCTCAGTTGTTATGTAAGCTCCAGGGTGCCAGGGCTTGAGGGCTTTTCTGGTTTCAGGAGAATTTGTACTGCTTATTTTTATAGACTTTTGGTTTGGAGATGAACAGATCTATGGGGGAAACTGTTGAGTTCCAATGGCATTTCACCGTGATCCCTCTCAAGCTCAACTCAGTTCTCTAACCCCATGACAACTTGTTCCTGGTTTACTGTCCTGGGAAATGTCAGCTCCACTTTCCCAGGAGTCACGTGCTTGTGCCTAGTCAGTGTGAAAACCATCGCCCTCTTGACTTGGGTGTATGTGCTTAATTCAAAGTATCTAAACCTAATCTGTAAATGCTCTTCTAACTGTTCATGGCATTGCTGATTACTTTGATTATCTTGCTTGAGGATTATTCAAACTTTTTAATTTGATAGAAATAAAAAAAAATTTCTGCTAAGAAAAAAAAAAATTCTGAATTTTCATTTACTTTCAAGAAAATTTAGAGACAATTTCACCATGATTGGGGGCCCTGGAAAGTAGTTGGACACTTAAGACTCCGTGGGTCTTTAGACACTGCCCTCTCTAAGGATATAACCTTCATTCTCTTTGAACCCTCTATTCCTCTCTACCTTTAACTCCATAGTAAAATATTATATTCACATCAAAGACACCCACCTCTAGGAAACATATTGCCAGCTGTAAGACATAGCCATGAGCAAAATAACTAGGTCAAGAACCAGGCTGCCTTTTAGAAAGCCATGAGTAACCTAGATAACTGACACGTGAGTGGTCCTGCTTCTACCTTCCCATGTTCTAATTTCCACTTTTATGCTTTAAATTATCTAAGAGAATGAATTATGGAACCCCAGACTTGGGTATTAATAAAGACAGAGCCCAGGTTCATGCTTCCTGCCCTCAGCTTTGCTGTGTGGTCCTCCAGCCTGCCATGTACCCTTTGGGACCTGCGAGTAATAAATGTTGTTCTTCTAAGTTCCCTGGTGGTTTTGTAGTGGTGAGTCCTGCAATCATAAGAACCACAGGGCTGGTCCAAGCACCACATTGGTCCTGGCGGTGGCAGGGGGAGCATCTGTGGGGCTCACTACATAAGTGAATGTAGCTGCCCGAGCACCTCAGGCATTCCTAGGCAAAGACATCACTATCCACAGAGCCTATAGATAGTGATGTCCTTGCCTAGGAATGATCCTAAATTTTGTGACTGGAGAGTCACTCACTGATGGCTTCTGTCCATCAGGTAGGACAATGAGAGAACAAAGCTTGGCCCAAAGGTGCAATACCTAGTTAGGAAAGGGAATAGGAACCTTAGAGATGACATTGACTCTCTGAAGAGTGCCTCCCTCTATGAAGACTGGTTGACTGGCTCATGTTTTGGATTCTGTGGCTATAAAAAAGCTTCCACAACAAGAAAGCCCACTGTATGGGAGAACATATTTGCAAATGTTATCACTGATAAAGGTTTAATCTCTCCAACCTCTATAGGCAACTTATACAACTTAATAAAAGGAAGATAAATGATCCAATTAATAGAATCTTTTCGAAAGAAGACAGAAGGAAGACCAAGAGACACATGAAAACATCCTTAAAGTCACTAATTATCCAGGAGATGCAAATAAAAACGACAATGCGGTACCACCTCACACCTGTCAGAATGGCTATCATCAACAAATCAATAAATGACAAGTGCTGGTGAAGATGTGGAGAAAAAGGAACCCTCGTGCACTGCTGATGGGAATGCAAACTGGTGCAGCCACTATGGAGAATAGTATGGAGTTTCATCAAAAAACTAAAAATGAAACTCCCATTTGACCCAATAATCTCACTCCTAGGAATATATCCCAAGAAACTAGAAACACCAATCAGAAAGGATATATGCACCCCTATGTTCATAGCAACACAATTTACAATAGCTAACATTTGGAAACAGCCTAGGTGCCCATCAGTAAATGACTGGATCAGAAAACTATGGTACATCTACACATGGGATACTATGCTGCCATAAAAAAAAATTTAAAAAGGGAATTCTTACCATTTGCAGCAACCTGGATGGAACTGGAGAACATTATGCTAAGTGAAATAAGCCAGTTGATGGAAAAAAAAATACCACATGATCTCATTCATTTGTGGATAATAAAGAACATTATAAACTGATGAACAAAAAGATAGATACAGAGGCAGTAAAGCATCAAACAGACTGTCAAATTACAGTGGAAAGGTTGGGGGAGATAAGAGATCAACCGAAGGACTTGTATGCATGCATATAAGCATAACCAATGGACACAAAACACTGGGGGGTGAGGGCATGTATGGGATTGGGGTGGGGGTGGGGGCAATGGTAAGATATGTACACATATAATACCTTAATTTAATTTAAGAAAAAATAGGAAAAAAAGATAAAGCTTCCAAGTAGTCAAGCACTATCTTTCCAATGGCCCCTCCAACTATTCCAGTTAGAATCCAACAACTCTGCTGCTTTATTGACCTTTATTGTATTGTGGTCTCTCAGGCAGATTTCTTCATTTGATAGTTCTTTCTTAGACAACAGGGAGTTTGCACCAGAAGCTGTCTATAAGCTCTGACATTCTCTCCTGTTCTCATAGCAACACAACCTTGACAAACTTTGCAAACGCTGCTATCAGCTGCCTCCTTCCCCACACTGTGCTCTGGGGAAACAACTTTATTCATTGGCCTTTGTAAAACAAGATAAGTGACCTAAAGAGAAAAGGGAGAGAGATGGGAGGAGAGTGTGGGGAAGGGAGAAAGAGACACAGAGATTATGGGAAAAAGAAAAAGACAGACAAAAACCTACAGAGACACAGAGAAGCAAAGAGATAGTAAGAGATCAAAAGGACACATTGTCAGAAACAAAAGGGGCATGCCAGTTAGTGTGCAGATAAAATGGAAAATTAGTAAAGAACGAGGACATTCCACAACTCTCAGAGTTATCAAGAAGACCCCATTCATTTCTAAGGTAGCCTGGAAAGTGAGATAAGCTTTGCCCACCCCTCTCACCACCACCCCATGGTTGACCAGAGGACTCAGCCCAGCATAGGGGGCTAAGAACTAGAACCAGGAACCATCCAATAAGAGACCGTTCCCCAGGCTGTGGGTTACAGCTGCCAGCTAGCCACACTGATAATCTCAGAAACATGGTGTTCCCAGGGGAAAAAAAGAGGGTGGCTGGCTTGACTCCAGATTTCATATCCAAGATACTGACTACTAAAAAAATAGGCTGGACAAAGGCAGCCAGACATTTTTATGTTCTTGAACCACCAGACAGACAGGCTAGCTCTTCTTCACAATGGTGTCTTCTGGACTTTTGAGGATCCTGGTGATATCCATCCTTCTAGAGAATGTCCAAGGGTTTAGTCTGGCTGAATTGCTCTCTCCAAGTAAGTAATGGGGTCTCAAGTAACTAGAGTTACTTTTCACTCTCTTAGCCTTGGTCCTGGGTTGGGAAAGGAGAGAGATATTTGGAATATTTCTTCCTTATTTCCCTCTCTGTGGAAGATTCCCTTTTATGAATGCAAGAATCCAGACCCAAGGCAACCCTTACTGCCCCTTTGAAGTAGAGGTCTTTCTTGGGGGGAGGTGGGGAGGGCCTGGGAAGAGTCATAGGATATAACATTTGTGGGATGGTCTATAGGAACCCTCGGGGCTTAAGGGACCTTCCTCTTACCCCACACAAAAATAGCTCCCTTTCTTGGGACATCATCCCTATCGATTCCTGATTATTTCAAATACAGCCCTATTAAGTAGCTCTGCATCTCCAAAGGTTCATTGGCTTTTGGAAAAAGGACAGTATCCAGAAGTTCCTCTGAACTTAAGACAGTAATATTCCATGACTATATAGTAATGATGTTAATTGCTACCATTTACAGAACACTCAGAAAGTAGGAATTTAAAGGAAGGGATCTGGAGTCAGACTTGGTGGGTCCAAATTCTGGTTCCACCACTTAGTGGCCATGTAATCTTGGGCAAGTTACTTAAACTCCACCTTCTTCAGTTTCCTTATCTGCCAAATGGGGATATTAATATTATTATGGTGATTAAATGAGAGTTAACATAACTGTGCATCAGTTACTGTAATTATAGCTTTATACGTGTTGTCTCATTTCTTCCTCATAACTCTGTGAGGCTAAAACGATCTTACAAATGAAGAAACCAAGGCTCAGAGAGAGTAAGTGGTAAACCAAGAGTTAAGAATTTAAAAACCTGTCTGACGCCAGGGCGAGTGGCATTAATCACTGTGCAATACAGTACTCCCCCTCAAGAAGGAAATTCCTGAACACTGACTCCCTGACCGGGCCAAATGAACAGATTTGCTTAGACCAGTGGCTTTTAATAGGGTGATTTTGCCTTCCAGGGGACATTTGCAAAGTCTTTTTGGTTACAACTGAGTGTGCTATTGGCATCTAGTGGGTAGAGGAGGGATGCTGCTAAACATCCTACGATGAGCAGGATAGATCTTCTCTCCCAACAAATAATTATCCAACTGAATGTGACTAGTATCAAGGATGAGAAATCCTCCCTTAGACTGGCTGGGCTGGTGGTGGGACTAGGGATGGGATAAGAAGGTAGAGAGTGAGGGATGGACAGGAAGGAGGGTAGTGCAGGAAGTGCTGGGAAAAAACACCCTGAGGAAAAGGACTCCTGGGAAGAGCAAAGTAAAAGCAAACTTCCCTGACTGCCCACAGCTGCCTCGGGTCTGGAGAAGATGGGTTCTGTGCCCTCCATGACTCATGGTTGTGAAACTGTCTCTTCCACAGGGAGATGCCCCAGAATCCGAGAGGGATGCCAATTCAAAGAAAGGGATGAGTGCTCGAAGAACAAAACCTGTCCGGACAAGAAGAAGTGCTGTGTCTTCAGCTGTGGGAAAAAATGTTTAGACCTCCAACAAGGTATTATTCAGAGCCCCTGAATAACCAACCAATCCTTCTACCCAAACCCTCTCCTTCTGCCCACTTGAGCTGGCTTTGTCCCTGGTGTGCTAAGGGTAGGTGTCTGAGCAACACTGCTGGACTTGGGAAACCTGGGATCTACATTCGTCCCCGCCCCTAATATGATGTCTGACATCAGGCAATGTCTTCATTTTGTCTGGGCTTTGCTTTCCCTGGCAAAGGGGTGCAAGGGTGTGATTGAATCAGATAGTCTCTTGGCTAGTTTCCATGCTTACTCTTTGAGTCCCCAGGGGCTACTGTTGGCCCACCATATACCAACTTTGTTGCTGCGAACGGTATCATCTAGCTTCTTGCTCCAGAGTGCCGCCTCTTTGCCTAACCTGGTAAGTCTATCAGCACCAGGAAATCTCCCCTGACCACTTCAGACCAGAGAGTGTTTCCTTTGCTGCTACAGCCTTCACTCCATCCCCATTTGCCTGGTTTCCTGAAAGACTAACAAAGATTCTTTGTTTGTTTGTTTGTTTCCTCTGTGATTTTATTAATCCTCACCCGAGGATAATTTTTCCATTGCTTTTCTGAGAGAGTGTAACAGAGGGAAGGTGGAGGAGAAGAGAGAGCGAGAGCGAGGGAGAGCGAGAGAGAGAGAGAGAGAGAGAGAGAGAGAGAGAGAGAGAGAGAGAGAGAGAGAATGCTCATAAATAACAGAGGCCATGCCTTTTCTTTGTCTCTTAAAGTATCTAGCACATGATATGTGCTCAATGAATAACTTATTCAGTCCAGGTCAAAGATTATTTATTTATTTATTTATTTATTTATTGTTAATCCCCACTCAAGGGTATTTTTCCCATTGATTTTTTAGAGATAATGGAAGGGAGGGTAAGAGGCAGAGAGAGAAACATCGATGTGAGAAAGACACATCAATTGGTTGCATCCTGCACACTCTCTGACTGCGGTGAGGTCCATGCCCTTGACCAGAATTGGACCCTGGTCCCTTTAGTTCAGGGGTCCTCAAACTTTTTAAAGTGGGGGCCAGATCACGGTCCCTCAGAGAGCTGGAGGGCCGGACTATATGAACTACTAATTCCTACTGTAACACCTCGGCTGTGCTCACTGCCCAAAAAACCTGGCGGGCCGGATCAGACTCCTCTGCAGGCCACATGTGGCCCGCGGGCCGTAGTTTGAAGACGCCTGCTAGTTCATTGGCTGACCCTCTATCTACTGAGCCAACCAGCTAGGGCAAGGATTCTTTACTTATTCATTGTTTTACCCTCAACATTCTGCCAAATTCAGACTTCCTGCTAAGAATGGGGTTCCAAGATGAAATCAAACACAAGCCTGCTCATTTGAAATTTACAACCTCACAGGTGAGACCAAAGACATAAACAAATGACAAACATGCACATACAACTCAGAAGCACCACAGAAAAATGCAGGTCCAATTTAGCATCTTGGGGGTGTGAAATGCAGGATGGATTCAAAGACACCATAAAGGAGTTGATATGTGAGAAAGATTTTGAAGAGGGAATAGGAGTGTCACTAATGAACAACAGTGGGGTGGGAAGAGAAAATATGGAGTGAGAGGTGTGAAAGTGTGGGATAGCATGGTGTGTTGATGGTTGCAGGAGTGTGTAGCTCAGAAGGGTACTGTGATAGGGGAAGGGCCAGAGTCAAAAACAGGAGGCAGTTCGTGAAGGGCCTGTGGGTCATGAGGAGACTTTGTCACAAAGTCAAGTCAAGGTCTTAGTGTGTAATGATATGATCAGGATGTGTTTCAGATCCACCAGGACCTTCTCTCTGGTGAGCAGCATTAGGGGTAGATTGGAGGGGTCAGGAATGGAGGCAGGAAGATCAATTTGAGGTCATTTCAACAGCCCAGGCTTGAGACACTGAGACTTAAAGAGAGTGTTAGATGTGGTGCATACATGCATGGAATATTATTCGGCCATAAGAATGAAATCTTCCCATTTGCGACAATGTGGATCAACCTAGAGGGTATTATGCTACAGCCTCATGAAATAAGTCAGACAAAAAAGACCAATACTTATATGTGGAAACTAAAAAACAAAACAGAAACAGAGAACAAATTAATGGTTGCCACATGGGAGGAGGATCCAGGATTGAGTGAAAAAGATAAAGGCACTAAGAAGTACACATTGGCAGTTACAAAAGAATCCCAGGGATGTATATAGCCAATAATATTGTAATAACTATGTATAGTGCTAGTTGGATACTGGGAATATTAGGGGAAACACTTGGTAAAGCATGATTGTCTAACTCCTATGCTGTACACCTGAAACTAAGACAAAATAATATTGAATGTCAACTGTAATTGAAAAAATTTTTTTAAATATTGTATTAACTCTGTAAGGTGTCACATGGATACTAGACTTATGGAAACCACTTCATAAGTTATAAAAATATCTAACCACTATGCTGAAACTAATATAATATTGAATGTCAACTGTAATTGAAAAATAAATAAATGAAAATTTAAGAAAAAGGGTGGCAGAGAGGTCAGCTGAGAGGAAGTGAAAATCAACAGGCCTTAACTGTTCAGCTGAACTAGCAGTTTAGTTCAAACCTGTTTTGGTTTGCTAGGGCTGCAGAAACAAAGTACCACAGAATGGGCAGCGTTAGCAACAGCAATCTATTGTCTCACTGTTCTACAGGCTGGAAGTCCAAGGTCAAGTGCCAGCAGGGTGGGTTCTTTCTCCGTTATGTGTGAGAATCTGCTGCGTGCCTCTCGCTTAATTCCCGGGGGTATGCTGGGAATGGTTGGCATTCCCTGGCTTGTAGACTTCTGTCTTCAACTTCACATGGTGTTCTCCCTGTGTGTGCCTGTGAACAAACTTCTCCTTTTTTTAAGAACATTGGTCATACTGGATCAGAGATGCACCCTATTCCAGTTTCCAAATAGGGTCACATTCTGAGGTACTGAGGATTAGGACTTTAGCATATAAATGAGTTGGGGGGTAGGGAAGGGGGAGCATGCAATTCATTCCATATCAGGAATGAAACTAACCACAGGAAGAAAGGGGCCTTGACCATCTGAAAAACTACTCTCACCTTCCCTGCAAGGGACTCGCACTTGACTCATGATCACATAATCTCTTCTTGGCATGCTTTGGAAGGCAGAGTGAATGGCTTATAATTTCTAATTTACATATCTTTTATTTATTCAGGGCATGTTTATTGATCAGCTACTCTCGGCCAAGCACTGTGCTCAAAGCTGCACATTCAGATACAGTCAAAGGGCTCGCAACTTAGAGGGCCGTGAGGGTGGTCTCACTTGTCCGCAGGACAGCCCTGTGCAACAAGCAGGGTGAGACTGTGCATTTCCGTTTTACAGAAATGGAAGTCGAGAACAAGATAGGTAATGTGGGAGATGGATGCGCAGACACTGAATTAGGAAAAAAATCTTGAAACCGGAGTCTCCTCACTCTCAGGGGAGACAATGAGGCCAGTGACCAGAAGGGGAGGGAGATACCGATGTTTTCCAGAGAGGCAGATGCCCAAACAGCTCCACTTTAGGGTCTCCCTGCAAATGTGCACAATACATCAATGGAGCTGGCCCCACCGTGTGATAGGTGAAAAGAGCCTGCTCAGGTTCATCCTATGGGGGTTGTCAAAGGGACAATAACAAGTGGTATTTTTTCAGGGTGGGCACTCCAAGTTCTCAACTCTGGGATCTCCCTGCAGATATATGCAGTCTGCCGCAAGATCCTGGTATCTGCCTGGCCTATTTTCGTCGCTGGTGGTATAATAAGGAAAATGATACCTGTTCCATCTTCATCTATGGTGGCTGCCAAGGAAACAGAAACAACTTCCAAACCAAAGACTTGTGTCAGAATTTTTGCTCCAAAAAACGTGAGTTCCAGGGGCCTTGATATCCCAACCTCACCAGGGCCACGTGGGAGGTCTGGGTGTTGGCTAGTCCATTCTAGGAGGGCTGCAACCTTGGCAGACTAGCTGCTGACACAATAAGCTCCAATCAGGAGGTAAGAATCAATCTCACAGAGGGCTGGACAGGGGCTTCCTGAGAACCGAGACTGGGGAAAAACGTGGTCATGAATGGAAGTTGGGAAGCGTGAGGAGTGGAAGGAGGGTGCATGTTGGCCAACCACAATGCCTTGCTAGTAATCCACTCCCATCTACATCCATTTTTCCTTTAAGGACATGTATAGCATCCCAAAGTAAACTCACTTCTGTTTAATGTCCTGTGGAAATGTTCAAACACAACTTCAAGACTAGTTCTGAAGGCAAGCCCAAGATGCTCAGCTGGTCTTGGTCTGCATTCTCAACAGGCTTCTAATCCTGAATGCATACGAATTAACCGAAACACCACCAGGATTGGGCTCATGATTCAAGGCTCTGTCTGTGTGCCTGATCGGCACTCCAAGTTGGCTTCCTCTGTTCCACTCCCCGCATTCCAAGGCCTTAGCCTTCCCAAGATGGAACCCCTGAATCTGCTTCCCCCCTCTTCCATTTTAACCTCTTTTCATATAAAATATCATGTTTTGATCCCATTTCTACTGTCCAACTTCTAGCAACCCCTCTTTATACCTGTGTAGTTCCCAATTTTTCCCAATAAAGTACTCTATTTGATCCTGTGCCTCTAAGACTGAATGACTCACATCTGTTGGCACATTATGGTTTGTGGAGAGTAAAAGCTTACTGGGGCTTCTGAAGACACCATTAAAGGGAGTGAAGAAAATCAGAACCTTGAAAACTGATACCCCAGGGATATTGTTATTATCCTCTTTTTCTTAAAAAAAAAAAATTGCAAGACCCTTTTATAACAAGGGCTCCTTAGCTTGGATACTCCAGTAATTGATCCTAGGACAAGGGCATGGGTAAAAGTAGTTTATTTGGGAGATAAATTTGAGGAGTGGATAAGTGATATAGGAAAGCAATGAGTTAAATAATGAGCTGGCTACCTCTGTGCAAACTGTAGCTTAATTCTACTGGAGACTTTCCACAAGACCATGTAAAACATGTCTCCATCTTCAGTTATGGGGAAGCTGAGGTGTGTGTCCACTGAGTTCCATGTTCTCCCGGGTGTCTGGGGGGCATGAAAGCCCTCATTCTTCCAGGCTGTTCTGTATGGAATCTGAGCAAGCTCCCAAGAGCCAGGGAAAGCTCTCAGCAGGGAAGTAGAGACTCTGGTGCTTGAAATGGAAAGCTATTAATATGCATTTGATATTATTCAGCCACAAGAAGGAAGGAAGCATGAATACGTGCTTCATTGTGGGTGAACCTCAAAAATATTACGCTAAGTGAAAGAAGCTAGTTACAAAAGGCCATACACTCTATGATTCCATTCATATAAAATATCCAGAATAAGCAAGCTCATAGAGGTAGAAAATAGATTAGTGGAGTAAGGCTGGGGGGAAATAGAGAGTGACTGCTAATGCATGTGGAGTTTTCTCTTGTGATGAAAATGTTTTGGAACTAATAAAGGTGATGGTTACACAACATCATGAAGGTACTAAAAAGCCACTTAACTGTTCACTTAAAATGATTAATTGCCGAAACCGGTTTGGCTCAGTGGATAGAGAGTCGGCCTATGAACTGAAAGGTCCCGCGTTCGATTCTGGTAAAGGGCATGTACCTTGGTTGCGGGCACATGTCCGGTAGGGGGTGTGCAAGAGGCAGCTGATGGATGTTTCTCTCTCATCGATGTTTCTAACTCTCTATCCCTCTCTCTTCCTCTCTGTAAAAAAAATCAATAAAATATATATTTAAAATATATTAAATATATAATATTTAATAAAAATATTAAATATAAAATTGTGAATTCCATCTCAATTATAAAAAATGGATTAGAAATAAAAAGACATTAGAATTGCAGCTGCAGGTGAGCTGGGAGTATGTCTTACTGATGCTTCAAGTCTTAAATTTGAAAGTTCAATGGAATAATTTTCTGGCCCCTCCCATTGATTCAGCTGGTTCTGGGGTCATAACTGTCATTTATTTACTATTTCCCTCCTGCATTACCTATTCCAAACTGAACCCGATGATATTATAGAAGCTCTCCGTTAGACCTAGCATTCTCTCCGGCTTTCAAAGCACCATGATCTTGATAGGCACTCTGAAGATTTGGTTCAATCTGGAATCAACTGTCTCCTCCCTTCCATGCTATTCATGGCAATAGCTTTACTGTCTGACAATGGCTAAAGAAAAGGGGTGGCACAAAGAGAAGAAAGAGGAAAAGGACCCGAGGGAAATAGAAGGGCAGGGAGAAAGAGACCCAGCCTGTGAGAGACTCACAGAAAAAAAGAGAGAGAGAGAGAGAGAGAGAGAGAGAGAGAGAGAGAGAGAGAGAGAGAGAGAGAGAGAGGGAGGGAGAAAGGCAGGGACAGAGTAAAAGGAGGCACAGAGAGAAGAAAATAAACAGTGTGAGGAAAAACAAGCAGACAGAAAACTAAACATGCCAGGAGAAGAGTAAGGTTGAAAAAAAAGAGAAGACCTAAGATACTCTTGACCTCCAAACTCTCCCTGAAAAATGAAAGACCTTGGAATCGAACATTCCCTCTGCTAAAGGAGTTTAGAAGCCCCAGATAAACGTTGTCCCTTCTCTCTCTCTGGTTGACCAGACAGCCAGAGAGCCTCAGCTCACTTGAGGACTAAGTGCTGTCTATCAAGAGCCCCTTCCCTCAGGATTAGTGCTGTGGGTGTCAGCTAGCAGCACCGATGGCCTTGGGGACTTGGTGTTCCTTGGAGGAGGGAGAGTAACAGGCTGGTCTCCAGTGACTTATGCCTCTCGGAGTGGTAAGCTGTGCCAGGGCAGCCAAAAGCTCTGACGCTGCTGCTATAGCACTCGTTCTTAGTCTGGGTGCCACCAGCCAGACAAGCCCCTCCTAAAATGGGGCTCTCAGGACTTCTGTCAATACTGGTACTGTTCATCCTCCTGAGTGGTGTCCAGGAACATGGGCTGGTTGAGGGGTTCTTATGTAAGTATTGGGGACTCAGTCCTCTCAGTAGAGAAAGGAACTCAGATGGGAGGAAAGAACAAATGATTCTAACCCTGAGAAATGCTTCCCCCACCCCTCACCCCCACCTCAGCCTGGGATCCTGGGTGGGAAAGAGGGGAGATTTTTGGATTCTTCTTTTCAGATAAGATGCCTTCGGGAATGCAGGAAACTGTCTGTGGCAATTGTTATGGGGTGGAGATGGGGGCAGCAATGTGCCAATCACAAGCCCTCTGAAGATCACTGCTTTCTGTGGACAATGAAGTGAAAACAAACTTCCCTAAGTCTGCAGTGGTGCCCTATACCTGGGGATGGTGTTCTGGCCCCTTCAAAGTCCTTTCTTCCCTCCCTGTTAGACCTAACATTCTCTCCGGCTTCAAAGCACAAAGACATGTGTCCCAAAATCAAAGTACATTGTGATAAGAAAGAAACAAATGAATGTCTAAAGAACAGGCAGTGCCCAGAGAAGATGAAGTGTTGCGACTTTAACTGTGCAAGGAAATGTTTAAACCTCCAACAATGTAACTCAGAAATCCCCTGAACTATCCAATGCCCCACTTTCTGCTCTGACATTACTAGACCACTGACATTGTCACCTACACTGACATTATTAGACCACATCCGGGGTTCACTGATGGCTGGCGTCTAATCAACAGTCCGGGTGCATCTTTTAATTAATACAAATCCTGGACTTGGAAGGAGGGGGTGTTGAGAGTCATGGTTTTATTTCTTTTCTGTTCATAGTTAGGGATGTGATGTGGGTAACGGATTTCTTTCCTTTATGGGTCTTAGTTTCCCACCTGTAAGAAAGATGGGAGCGGGGGAGTGGGCATTAGATCACTTTGTCTCTTGGCTGCTTTTCTGGGATCCTCTGAGATGCCAAATAGCCAGTGAAGTCCCTTCAAATGCCAACAGAGAGCTAGGGGGTAGAATAGCTATAAGGCACAGATATACAATTTTTATTTCCTGGTTGTGCTTTTTCTAGGCCTCTTTGTCTATATAAATTTAAAATGTTTTCTCTAACCACTGTTGACCTCCTTCACTCTTTCCTCTCTGCTCATATAATTGAGCTCTAAAGAAGACCATTGAGGAGTATTTATTCATTCATTCATTTTACAAATACTTACTGGTTTCTCTGACATCAATGATAGGCTCCATTTGCTCAGTGTAGCCAGGGAACTCAGTAAAGTTTTTCAGGGTAAAAAGATCCACAATTTAAGACCTGCGAAATCTTAAACTATATGATTCTGAAAAACAAAACAACAACAAAACCTCTCTTTATTCCTCTTAGTAGTATGTACAAGATATTTGCTCTAAAAATGCTTTTTGAGATTCAGGATACATTCAATTTTAAAAAATATTTTTTATTTTTTAGAAAGAGGAAGGGAGAGAGAGAGAAAAAACAACAACATATTGATATGAGAGTGAAACATGGATTGGCTGTGCCCTGTATGCCCCCTATTGGGAATTAGCTTGCATCCCAGAATGTGTCCTGACCAGGAATTGAACCAGTGACCTTTCAGTGCACAGGACAATGCCCAACCACATCAGTGATTTTATTTGTTTGTTTGTTTGTTTGTTTAGAGAGAGAGTGTGTGTGTGTGTCTGTGTGTTTTACTGTGAATATTCCTGACGCATCCACTCAGTGCCAAATTATCTGCAAGGAACTGGTGTACCAAGATGACATAAGGCTCAAATCTTACATTCTCATGGAGGAGTCAGAAAATACAAACAAATAATCATATAGAAGCGATAAATGTGTGTGTAAGATTGAGAAGCAATATAGAAAAGCAAGGAGTGAAGCATGGAGCCAGAAAAGGAAGCATAGAAGTGTTTGATATCTGAGGAGTGTTTGAATAATGAAAAGGATTGTATCTAGTGAGCAAGAGAGAGGTGGGCATTCCAGGCAGGTGCAAAGGCATGGAGGGGTGTGAGCGGCCACTCCTCCACGACTTTGCACATGTCTGAAATGTTCTCTAAGGAGGCAGGCACCCAAACTGCTCTACTCTGCAGTCTCCTTGCAGATATATGCAGTTTGCCAAAGGTAGTTGACCCCTGCCTGGCCTCTTTCCACTCTGGTGGTATGATAAGGAAGCTCAGGTATGCTCCAAATTCATCTATGGTGGTTGCCTAGGGAACAATACAACTTCCAATCTGAATCTATCTGCAAGACCATCTGGAAAAAAAAAAAAAAAAAAAAAAAAAAAAAAAAAGTAAGTTTCACGGGTCCCATTTCCCACAATCACCTGGGCTACCCTGGGAGGTCGGGTGCTGGCTGGTCTGTTCTAGGAACTTGGCAGGTTTGGGGCTGATATAATCAATTCAATCAGAAAGTAAGAATGCACCTTTGAAGGGGTAAGTAGCAGAAAAAGAGGGAGGGAAGGGAAGCAGTAGTCAAAGTTGGCAGGAATGAGATGACTAGAGGGTACATAGAAAGCTGAAGTGGTGAAGTGTCTGAGACCAAGTCAGAAGAAGGCCCAGAACATAAGCCCAGTGCTTGGCACCATGAATCAGACAGTCACTCCAGGCCATTGATTTCCACCAAACCTCATCAGCAATTCTCCTCCCTTTCCTTCTTAAGGTGATTATAGCTAGGACAACCACATGCTACATTGATGACATGAAGATACTTTTGAGAGCAAAAGGAAATACCATTATGTTATTGGGAAAACAGACATAAACTGGGACTTTAATGGAAAACCAGAACATGTGATCACTCTCTGAGCCACTGAAGTCACTCTACTTCAGTGTTCTCTTCCTGTGAAAAGATGCAAAATGATCTTTATCGCAAACACTCCCACACCTTTCTTCTCTCTTTCTCAGGTGTATGTCTTTTCTCTATTTCTCATAAATGCTAAGGATCCTGGTGAGACTTACAACCAGGGGAGCAGGTGGCAGTGGCAGCTCATCCAAGGCTAACCCTCTGAACCTGTCTTCAAGGCTCCCTTTTCTCTGACTTTATAGTGAGCTAACAGCTGCTGCACCTTGGCTCACTTCTGTCAGACTTTTACTTCTCAGTGAGTCCACACTGCCCTGCATGGCTCACTTCTTTCCTATAATGTTACTATAGAGCCAAAGCAGGACACCACTTAGCCTCTCTCCTGTTGCTTCTTCTACCCTAAGCCCTTCCTTTGTTTCATTGTCCCCAGAATTAATAAACATACTCTAAAAATCACACACACACTTTATCTCCCTTTTTCCATTAACTGCAAGGCTTAGTTCCTATAGGAATTAAAGTCCAAGTATCTCACCCCTTTCTTTTCTGCTACCTCACAGGGTCATGGTCTTGGGTAGGATAACCAAAGCTGAAACAACCTCCAGGATTTGGCTCATAATATAGGCTCTCTCCATGTGTGCTTGACTGATGTCCCATATTGGTTTTTGCTGGCAAAATCTCCACTGCTAAGACCTTGGCTGTTCCAAACACCAATCCCCAGGATTCGTTTATTTCTCTGGCTCAGCTTTTCTTCAAATATAATGCCCATCGCCCTTTGACACTGTATTTTCAACTCTTGGGTCCCCATTTATCCCTTGGAAGCCTCCAGTTTTCCCTAATAAAGTGCTTTGTGAGGTCTGCTATCTCTGAGGCTAAATAATTCACATATGCACCTTGAGTGCAGTTTTTGGAAAAGAAGTCTTTGGTCCTAGTGACATCAAAAGAGGGAGAGAGGAGTGAGAGAATCCTGCAAATCGAGAACTCTAGTGACACCGTTGCCTAGTAAAATTGTCATAAGATGCTTAAGAATGGAACCAGAGACAATCCATGTTTTGTATGGTCTAAAGCACATGTGTCAAACACAAGGCCCGCGGGCCAAATCCGTCCCGCCAGGCCTTGCAATGTGGCCCGCACCGCGCTGTCATCACTGCACTCCGCTGCGTTTCCATCACAATGACAGTTTATGACTGTTCAGTAAACCATTCGGCCCGCGATTTAGGCTGGATTTTAGATTTTGGCCCCTTCTCTGATTGAGTTCGACACCCCTAGTCTAAAGCTTATAAAGTTAGGGGGTTCATTTCATAAACAAATATGTTAAATTAAAAAGTGAATATTCTTCAAATGAGAAAGAAAATATCAACCAGTTGCAAAATTTAAAAGCTAACTAATACCACATGTTGCAAAAGATTCATATAGATTAATTATTAAGTGTTTACATATATGGCAGCAATTCTACAAAACTCAATTTCTGTGGAAAGATAATTCAGTCTTTTGTTGAACATGGTTGAACAAAAATTATTATATTTTCATTTTGGTTGTGGTTGGGATGCATACAATAGAAGCATGAATGCACAGCCATACTTGATATTTGTGTGCTAAAAACACAGGAATTTAAATAAATTCTCTTTTACACGATTCTATCAAGAAAACCTAGTTGGGCTGAAACCAGTTTGGCTCAGTGGATAGAGCGTCGGCCTGCAAACTAAAAGGTCCCAGGTTCGATTCCAGTTAAGGGCATGTACCTTGGTTGCGGGCACATCCCCAGTGGGGGGTGCGGAAAGCAGCTGATGGATGATTCTCTCTCATTGATGTTTCTAACTCTCCATCTCTCTCTCTTCCTCTCTGTAAAAAAATCAATAAAATATATTTTAAAAAAAGAAAAAGAAAAAGAAAACCTAGTTGGGACCGGGAAGGGTACAGGAATGCTCCCCTCAGGACCTCAGTTTTCCAACCATGAGTTGAAGGTGGTGGCCTAGTGTCAAAGAGTACTTCTAAATTTGAGAAGATAAGGCCCTGCCCAATCTGATAAGCACCTGGGGCTTTTCCAATCTATTGGTGCTTCTCAATGCTTGCTTGGGGTTGAAGTACATGAGTGGCTGCAACAGAATCATCCATCCTAGGGGCTCATGAACCAGAGAGGTCCTTGGGAATAGCCAGAGTGTGCCCTGGAGCTGAGGGCATCTGCTCATTTGCTCAGAATGAGCCCAGAGCCCTTGTGATGAGCAAAGGGAGCCCCGTGCCTTAAAGAAACCTCAGTGAGATGCTGCTTCTCTCTGTTGTCAACTGTTTGTTCACTTCTCTGCCCATTAGAACCTAGGGAACAGCTCGAGTGGAATCTTTTGGTGTTGTTCATGGTGCCATGCAGACCCGAGATCCCCTTCATCTTCCTCTCCTTTTTATTCTCACCTCAAAGCTTCCTACAGAGCCAGAAATGCCCACAGGAAGCTGTGGATGGTTTGAGAATTCAGGAAATGTCCAAGCTGAGGATATTAGAGAGCTCCACCAGCCCAAATAACCCTTCTTATGTTTGTTAAATTTCTTTATTGATTAAAGTATTACATATGTATCCTCATCCCTCCATTAACCCCCAACCACTCATGCCCTCACCCCCCTGGTGTTCATGTCCATTGGTTAGGCTTATATTCATGCATGCAAGTCCTTTGGATGATCTCTCCTCCTTTCACCCACCCTTCCCTAACTTCCCTCTGAGGTCTGGCAGTCTGATCGATGCTTCTCTGCCTCTGGATCTGTCCCTGTCCATCAGTTTATGTTGTTTATTGTGTTCCACAAATGAATGAGATCATGTGGTATTTGTCTTTCTCTGACTGGCTTATTTCACTTAGCATAATTCTCTCCAGTTCCATCCATGCTGTTGCAAATGGTAAGAACTCCTTTTTTTAACAGCAGCATAGTATTTCATTGTATAGATGTACCAGTTTTTTAATTCACTCATCTGCTGATGGGCACTTAGGCTGATTCCAAATCTTAGCTACAGTAAATTGTGCTGCTATGAACATATGGGTGCATACATCCTTTGTGATTCGTGTTTCTAGTTTCATAGGCTAATCCTCCTTATTTTTTTAAACACATGTACAAATGGAAGCTTCTAGCAGGAAATAGACATCCAAGATCACACAGCAAATCAATAGCAAAACTGGAGCTAAAATCCAGGTTTGAGTGTAACAGGTGCTGCCAGATCCCTCAGCCTCATTGGAAATCAGGGTGGATAAAATGGCTACTTGTCACTTTGTTGTTTTCATGTTCAGCAGGTCTCTCTTTTTTTTTAATAATCAGGAGCTCTCTGTGAAATATGCAAAACTATAAAACCAGTGTCAAGGTTTTTGATAAGCACACAAGATGAGTTATGTAAAGCGTGCATACCATAATGTCTTGGATGTTAATGTTCCATAAACAATAAAGATTATTATTATTAGAACATACATAGTTTTAAAATAAACGGTTCACTGAGGGAAACTCCAGTTTCCTGGAGCTTCCTACAGTGAACAGTGTTTATGTCCAATGAATAAAGCTCTAGGCTCCTGGGCTCATAAACCCTTTCTCCCTCCTCTATTTATATCCAAGCTATTGGGGATAGAGTGCTAATAATTACCTTCTGCTAAAAGTTCTACTTGGATTTCTAAAGATATAAATTAACTCTACTCTTAAAGTAATCAACCTTATTTTGTCCCCTACACGTTTATTTTTGAATATAAATAAGGTAAGAATAGAGAAATAAACTTTCTTGGCATATGTATGCTTATAATAAATATATTTGTTACATGTTTAAGCAAGTCTTCTCTCTAAATCCCTGTTCCCCTATCCTGTGAGATGAAGATGATAATAATATCTATTCCAAGGACTTTTTTAGACGAGTGTAATGAGACAAGGCAGAAACTCCTCTGACAGATTGTTGGTGTTGAAGTGATGTCCGTTTCCTTCTAGAAAAGATAAAGGTTTTGTGGAGTTTAGAATCTGACTGAAGAAACTTTGTTCTTTCCTAATCCCACCCACATTTACTCCCCCATCTCTACACCACCCACATCAATGGATCTACACCACCCAAATCAATGGGTCTCAATCAAAAGTAATTTCATTCTTTTCACACATAGATGGTTGATATAGGGTAAGACTCCTATGATGAGTACAACTGCAAGACAACTAACAAGAGCTTCTTGCTATTTTCTCAAATGTGCTTTTAATAAACCTTACACCTGTTCTCCATATTCTGGAACGTTAGGAACCTTACCACCCAAGTCACCAGAGGAAGAGCCAAGTCACTGAGTTGAAGCCAAAGATCCCCCAGGGCCACCCAGGTACAGAGTGGTTTTCAAAGGTCAGTACCTCCCACACAACCCACAAGGTCTGTTAAGCCAAGTAAGTACAAAAAATACATCAAATAAGTACAGGCACATCTCATCAAGCACTGCCCTCACTGCAAGGAGTCCTTATCACACTGCTCATATTGGAAATGTTTTTATAATTTAAAAATATTTAGACCCATAACTCCTCTACAAGGTTTTCTAACCTTGGCACCATTGACGTTTGGGGGCAGATCATTCTTTGTGGTGGGGCGATCCTGTGCATTGTAGGATGGTTAGTTAGCAGCATCACTGGCCTCTGCCAGTAGGCACCCCATTCCTCAAGTTGTGACAACCAAAAATGCCTCTAAACATGGCTACGTGTCCCTGGGGGTAGAACTGCCTCCTCCCCAGATGAAAATGGCTCTCCTGAATTGTGTTTTAAAAGGTCAGTTTTCTCTTCCTGGTCGGCTGCTCTGGAAGAGGAGCACTGTGGGAGCTCTCATCCATGAGCACCTACGCGCAGTCCTGCCCTCACTCTATTCGAATGGCAAATGCCAGTCTGTTCGCTCCCTGGGGACCTCCTGCTGCCATTATTTTGGTTTCTGACTAACAGATTTGATAATCTAAGAGAGCTAAAGAAAGAGACAGGAATAATCCTAGTAGACCCACTGAAGTGCAAAAAAAGATGTATTACCAAGATGTTGAAATGCAGACTTTAGAGGAGTCTTTAAGAAAATAAAGGCAGAGAAAGCAGTGAAGGTGAGCAGGCCATGAGAGGATTGACCAATTATTGTATGAACTATAGTTTGGAGAAGCAATGTCCAAGGAATGAGTACCATCATGGCTGCAGGGGATTTAAAGAGAAAGAAGGAAGAGTTACCACTAATGTGCAAAGATGGGCAATACATTTCTATTGTATATATAACAAGTATGGTTCTAATCTAGCTTGCACTCCCATTTCCAAGAAGTTCATCATACACATCAGCAAATAGCATGTGTCTGTGTGTGCACTTATAATGTATGAAGCATTTGTATATTCATTGAACACTTGTGCAGTTCTGGGAAGTATGCTAAATCAGCATCATTGATCTCAATGCATAGATGATAAACTGAGGCTCAGAGAGATCACATGACTTTCCCAAGGTCAAGAGCACCTTAGACTTAATATCCCAGACTCACTATATCCCACCATGCCAGCTTTGCCTTTTTTTAAAAAATCAGATCTGTAGAGGATCTGGGAAAGGAAGTGGGTGGGAATGTGCTGGTTCCTGGCAATTGAGGTGTGTCTGTAGACAAATGATTCTCTAAACCAGACAAAGTTGGTCCCTTCTACACAACAGTGTTGCTCTCCTAATTCCCTGGGAGACTTCAGATGGGAGGGAGGAAGCATACAGTGGGAACTCAATAAGTGTTTGATGGATGAATGGATAATACAAGGGCACTGGAGCTAGACAGACAAGAACCCCAATCCTGGCTTTGAATCTCATTATACATGTGACAATGGCTAATGTACTTCAATGTCTCTTCATGTGCAAAATGTGGGGAGGGGGAGGTGGTTAAGTCTTGTAGGAATCCTGTGTGGGTTCAAGGGAGGTGATATGTGAATAGTAGTTTATACGGTGCTTGGGAAGGTAAATTTACTCATTAAATGGTACCTATTGTTTTATTATTGTTACAGCTTCTTCCACCCTGAAGTGTGATAAAGTGGCCTTGGATAAAGGCCACAGATCAGATAAGGTCAAAGAACAGAGTCAGAGATGTGCTTTGGCTGGACACTCTGTTCCAGAGGTAGCCCAAACTCATGATTAACAAGAGTTAGGGGTAAATGAGCTGAATATGCAGCCAGAATTCTCCCCATTGGTCCCCTTTCTCCCTAAAATGCCAGCCCCAGGCTGGGCCACTGGCTGGGTGGCACCATGCGGCTCCGGATCTCTCTTCCATCTCTTCTGTTTCTCACCTTCAGCCAAGAGTTTCGGTAGGAAGCAGGAACAGGTTGGTATGGAAGTGGGAGCTCCAAGAATAGACTGGAAATAGAGAAGGGAGAGTGGCAGTACAAAGTCTGTTTTTATCTCATGCTGCAGTCAATTCAATTCACTTCAACAAATATACATGCTGGGTGCATGCGGTGTGCCAGGTACTGTGCCAGGTGGTCAGGCTAACGTCATGAGTGAAGCAGACATCCTGCTTTTGTGGAATTCATATTCCAATGGGAGAGAGAGAAACAATACATAATACACATAATAGATGGTAAACGTGCTGTAGAAAAGAGAAAAACTAGAGCTGATTTGAGGATGAGATCCCTGCTCGCCAGAGTTCTCTTGGTCAAGGAAAGGAAAGAATGATTGAGAGCAGCTGCTACTTATTGGGGCTTTTCTATTGATCAATGCTTTCCATAGGTTATCTCTAAGCCTTCAGTAAGTCTAAAGTGTGAATAGTATACCCCATTTTACATGAAGGAAACTGAGTGCCAAAGGTATAGGTCATTTGTCTAAGATCACACAGCTATAAATTTGAATAAACTTTGCACCCCACTCTCAGATCCCAAGTCAGTCCTTTCCTATAGATATCTCTTCTAGAATGATGATGAGACAGGAGGTGGAAGCCTGAGAGAGCTTACTCATCAAATCCTAGAAAATCAGACCTAAAAGGATGCTCAGAGATGATGGAGTTCAACTCCCTAATTTTACAAATGAAGAGGTGAAGATTTGGAGAAGTTAAATGATACAGTTATCCCACAGTAGTAAGTGGATTTGAATCCACTAGAACAGGATTCTCAAGTCTGCGGCTTTTAGCACAGCAGTCTACTTCCAGAAATGGAAAGCCTCAGTGTCTGTGCGGACGGGCAGGGCCATTGCTATGCGGGAAAGATGAGCAGGATGGGAAGAGGTACAGAGCTCGGTTGCTGGGTAGAGCCTCACAGTTATGCCCGTGGCCATCCTAGCCTCTGGCATATGGGCATATGGGCCAACAAGGGAAAGGTGATACATTTTGCCTCTCTCAACCACTTTCTCTCTTTAGGCCCATCAAGTCCCCAGCCTAGTGCCTCCCGAAAAGATTGCAAACTTCCAATGGAAAAGGGCCCTTGCCGAGCCAAACTCCCACGGTGGTATTACAACTCATCGATACCCGGATGTACGCTGTTTCACTTCGGAGGCTGCAAAGGCAACAGGAACAACTTTCCGAGTAGAGATGCATGTGATAAAGTCTGCAAGAACGTCTAATTTCCGCATAAGAGCCCGATGCTCCCTGGAGTCAGGGTTGCTCTATGGCAATGACAGGTGTTTCTGTGAACACGAGAAGCATTTCTCCACACCACCTTTTATCCTTGTTGTGTTCTTAAAACTACTCACTTCTGTGCCTGAACCTCTATAAATAAGCATATGATCAGCCAGAAGTGGGCACAAGAATGGGAGGGGAGAGGGGGGGCTTATGGTCAGCCAAAAGTGGGCAGGTGAACAAGGGGGCAGAGGCAGATGATGATGCCAGAGATGTCACCAGAGGATGGAGGAGGGCCCAAATGAACACTGAAGCTATGTGGCCAGGAGCACCCTGCCTCCCACCCACCCAGCCCCCAGGGCTCCTTGCAGGGACAGTGCAGTGGGCACACCAGGGCAGGCTGCTTGGTGGGAAGTGCAGTGAACTTGGCTCAGAGACTCCTGCTTGCCAAGCTCCAGGTGGTAGGATGATGCAGGGTACTCCAAAGCCTAATGTAACAAGCCTTTCCTCTAATGAGTTCAGCCTAGGGCTCCAGTACTAGAGGCTGCGAACAAGTCCTGGCCACCACGCCCCAGGTGTGCCCTGAAGGGACCTCTGGTGATACAGCCACATCGCCACAGTCACAGATGCACAGAGGGCCCCGGAGCCTCCTGGGTGCGTGAAAAGGGGCCCACACACATCAGCTGCAGAGACCGTCCTGCTTCCCAATCCAGCTCTGTTCCTTCCCAGCTGAGGGAACCGCCAAGGCCTGGATATGACCTGAGAAATGGGAATGATGTGCTGGGCTGGCTCCCAGTGGGCAGGGGCTGGGTACCTCTTACTTTCCTGCAGTAATGAGACCTGGCCAGCAGAGGGCGACAGCCTATGCCGCCTCCCAAGGCAGGCAGCTGGGCTGGGCGGAAACACACCTGGTTCCCCTTCAGGAGGGGTAAGGGGGAGGCTGAAGGATGGCTGTGGGGCCAGGTGGGCATCCAGCTGCCCTGGGAGGCCTGTTCTGCCTAACACTCTGCAGACGGGTTCCCTCTGGAGGCCGCAGGGCTCAGGCTGAGCCCTCCAGGAGCTGGATGTGTCAGCACAGACTGGGTGTTGTCACATATCCTAGAAGGGGGAAGGGGAGTGTTAAAAGGAGTGGGGGTGTTAAAGGGGGTGGGGTGGGGGAGAGGGGGCAGAGTGCCCACGTTGTGTCTGCACCCCTCTGCCTTAGGGGTCAATCCCACCCCCACCCCCCGCCCCTGCCAGTCTGGTTTGAAGACCCCGAGGCTGCAGGCAGGACCTGGGGAACTATGGCCTGCTGGGGCCCGGGCTCTGCGGGTCCCTGGAGCTGCAGGGGAGCGCTGAGGTGCCTGTGCTGAATGGGGGCGCAGGGGATGAGAGATGCTGCCACGGAGGTGGGGTGGCATGAGGGACTCAGACCAAGAGGCGCGGGGCAGAGCCACATCTCACAGCGAAATGCAGGAAGTCTGCTGGTTTGCGGACCCCTGTCTGCTGGGGGTGGAGGAGGGGAATGAAGGGAAGGGTGAAACCCATCCGAGTCAATGGCCACAGGGTGAAGGGCAGCTCACCCAGAGGTCACAGGTCAAGGAGACGGAGGCTCTGGGCAGCGGAGGGTTCCATTTTCAGCTCTGTCCCTTTACCGCTGTGTACCGTGGAAGGAAGAAGTCCAGTCACTCGCCCTCCACGTGCTGCAGCAGCAACACCTGTACCCTGGGCACGTGACCAGGGGGCGGGGCCAGGTGGAGGGTGTGTGTGTGTGTGTGTGTGTGTGTGTGTGTGTGTGTACACGTGCTTAAGGGGTTTGGCCACGTGGACAGCCTGGTGTGCACGTGATCAGGGGCAGAGCCACGTGGCAGCTGGGAGTGTGCACGTGATCAGGGGCATGGCCTCGTGGACAGCTGGGAGTGCCCATATGAACAGGAGGTGGGGCCACTTGATCACCCAGAAGTGCGCACGTGAACAGCGAGAGGGGTTATGAACACGGAGGAGGGGGCACCTGATCATGCAGGAGTAGTCACGTGGGGAGGGAGGAGAGGCCACGTGAAGACTTGGGTAGATGGAAGGGATGGGGCCAGGACCAAAAGAGCACCAGGATCCCCCAGGAGCCGACCAGGCAGGAAGGACCCTGCCCTGAAGCCCTCCCGGGAGCACAGCCCCAGAAGCCTTCATTTCAGATTCTGGCACCCAGACGGGGACGGCACTTGTTCCTGTTTGTTCAAGCCGGTCTGATGTCATCGGAGCAGCAGCCTCAGGAAATAGACCCGCCTTTGGGGGCTCTGACGGGGTCCTTGGAACAGTGAGCCCTGTGCACCCTGGCAAGAGAGACCCCCCAACCCCCAGACGGCTCACTGCAGGGCTCACAGGGAGGTCCATTCCTGTGTCTGCCTCGGCCCTGTCTCCTGCTCCCTGGGGCACCTCCACAGGGACAGTGCAGTGGGCACACCGGGCAGGCTGCTGGATGGGAAGCCGCTAGCTCAGCGGGAAGCACAGGCCAGTTGGCTCAGGCACTGCCTACCGCCTTGCCCAGCCCCCAGCTGCAGGATGAGGCAGGGCACCCCCCCCCCCAGCCCCGCCCTTATCTCCTGGGCCTGGGCTCCCGGAGCACCTGGGTGGACAGGGGCCCACCACTGGACTGCCGTGCCCATATTCTAGATGCCAAGTCTGGGGATGCTCAGAGAGGGGGAGCAGAGGTCCCTACCCCCAGCCCAACTCATAGATGGCATCCCCAGCTGCCTCTTGGTTGCCATGGGGTCGGAGGAGGAGGAGGAGGAGAAGGAGGAGGAGGAGGAGGAGGAGGAGGAGGAGGAGGAGGAGAGGTATTTCTTTGCTCCCCTAGAGGAGGAGGAGGAAGAGAAGGAGGGGGAGAAGGAGGAAAAGGAGGAGGAGGAGGAGGAGAAGGAGGAGGAGGAGGAGGAGGAGGAGGAGGAGGAGGAGGAGGAGGAGGAGGAGGAGGAGGAGAGGTATTTCTTTGCTCCCCTGGAGGAGGAGGAGGAGGAATCCCAAAATATATAGTAGTTGGCCCCTTCCTCACTCCCTCTCTCCAATATCAAAGCATCCATTTGTGCAGCTGGGCCAGGGCCTCTTCCTAGCCTGGAGCAAAGGAGGTCAAGAGGCAGAGGGTCCAGGGAGTGGTTATGGGACCCCAACCTCACCCAGCACATTTCCTGGACCTGGGCTCCATTGTCTTCCCACAGTTCCCAGGCCGGGCGGGCTCTTTCCTGCCTCCCTGCCTTTGCACATGCAGTTCCCTCCACCTGGAATGCCCTTCCTCAGCCTTCACGGCCCAGCCGGCTGCTTTAACTCCACTGGAGAACCTTCCCTGAGTCCCTTGGGGCTCTCCCTGCATCCTGATGAAGTCACAGCCAGTTTCTTGATGATGCTCTCACAGGGCTTTGCCTTTGTACCCAGGGCCTGTCATAGGCAGGTGCTCAGTAAAGCCTGAAGGAGAGAGGGAGGGAGGGAGGGAGAGAGAAGAGGGGGGAGTGGGAGCAAAGAGACACCTCTCCTAGGATTGCAGAGGATCTGGACCCTGAGCTCCTGGCACAGGCCTGGGCACGGAGCATAGCCCACTCCCTTCCTGCTGCCTCCACTCCAGCCTGGGCTCCAGCACCTTCTGCCTCAGCCCATTGGGAGCCGGCTCAGAGGCAGTGTCCACACCTGCCTCTGAGTCGGCCATTGACCAATTTTTTTTTTTTTTCTGAGTGGAGCGCCTGGCAGGATGTTCCTGCAGCGTGTGGAGGAGAGAGCAGAGGGCTCCAGTCCTAGAGGCTGCGAACAAGTCCTGGCCACCACGCCCCAGGTGTGCCCTGAAGGGACCTCTGGTGATACAGCCACATCGCCACAGTCACAGATGCACAGAGGGCCCCGGAGCCTCCTGGGTGCGTGAGAAGGGGCCCACACACATCAGCTGCAGAGACCGTCCTGCTTCCCAATCCAGCTCTGCTCCGTCCCAGCTGAGGGAAGCTCTGAGGCCTGGTTCTGACCTGAGAAATGGGAATGATGGGCTGGGCTGGCTCCCAGTGGACACACGCTAGTGAGGGCTAGTGCACATCCGGGGGTGGGCAGGTGAACGGGGGGTGGGGTTGCGCGCTGATCAGCTGGAATTGGGCACCTGAACAGGGGGCTGGTTTTGTGATCAGCAGGAAGTGGGCAGGTGAACGTCGGGGCAAAGGCTAATGAGCAGCCGGGAGTGAGCAGGTGAACAGGGTGCCTGGATCTGCATCATATTGGAAGGACCTCCACTGAACAAGGAAAGGATTTCTGGCCAAATAAGGGAACAAAAGAAACCAATGAATAAAGAAAAATGGGGAATACCTGAAGATATTAACCTAGTTCTGCCATAGGCTACTAGGCGAGAGGAGTGACAGCCTTGGTCCTGCAGTCCCCACCTTAAGTGACACCAATTATTGCAACTTGGAGGGGAAGGAGAAAACATGAGGGAAAGCTGTTCAGTTACCTAAGTCAAGAGGGGAAAATGAAGAACCAAAGATGTGCAGAGACTTCTCTAACATCGCACGATGGGAATGAAACAGGTATCACTGATCCAAGAAAAAGACCTGGTTCTCTGCATTGCAATGCCCACCCTATAATTTCCCCAAGCTCCCTCTGAATTTGGGGATGGAGCATTCAATTGGGTGGGAGACCCACTCATATGGGCCTCCAGAGCCAGTCTATGTACCTGTCTTGGCTGTAGAAACTGAAGCAGCCTGGAACTCAGTTCCCGTTCCTCCCGTTCGGAACGGGAGGGGTGTCGAACTCAATCAGAGAAGGGGCCAAAATCTAAAATCCAGCCTAAATCGCGGGCCGAATGGTTTACTGAACAGTCATAAACTGTCATTGTGATGGAAACGCAGCGGAGTGCAGTGATGACCACATTGCAAGGCCTGGCGGGATGGATTTGGCCCGTGGGCCTTGTGTTTGACACATGTGGTAGGGCCAGATCTGTTCATTTAGGGACCCATCCAGTGACCAAGCAATGGACCAAGGGACCTGGCAGTAGCCATACTGATGATATGCCAGGAACCAAGCTAAGTGCTTTCCATACAGTATCTCGTTTAATATTCCCAACAGCCCAGAGAGGAAGATTCTATTAACACTATTTCTTACAAATGAGGAAGTTGGAGGTCAGGAAGATAAATTACTTGCCCCAAATAGTAATTTATCTGGAATGAATGGCAAGGAATGAAGTTGGTGTCTGAATCAAAGTCCAACTGTAGCACCCATGTTCTTTCTTAATCAGTTTGCTTTCATTAACATTTCAGCTTGGCCATGACCACCCGCCCCTGCTTACCTCTCCATCTCACAAAACCCCCTGGACTTTTCCATATAGATGAGAGATCTGGGCTTGCCTGCCTCTACCTTTTCAGGTTCACATATTGGAGGTTCTTTATATATATATATATATATATATATATATAATTTTAGAGCCAAAGGAAGAGGGAAGTAGAAAAACATTGATGTGAGAGGGGAACATCAGCTGCCTCCTGCCTGCCTCTTATGGAAGTTTGAGCCCACAACCCAGGCATGTGCCTGACCAGGAATGTCATCAGCAACCTTTTTGTGCACAGGACGATGCCAACTCACTGAGCAATACCAGCCAGGGCTTTGGAGGTTCTTGAAGTCATGGATCCGCCTTACACACGTCCCCCCTACACTGAGCCAAGAAAGGGGACATGCACAGAGTATATGATGCTGGTTTGTTTGGTTACAGGTGATGTTAACGTTGATGGCTTGAGTGGGTGGCAAGCACTTGATTCGTTTCACAGAGATTATATAATGTAGGAAAGGAGGAACCTGGGATTTATTTTTCAGAGTTAAGGTTTTAAACAATGCGTGAATGCTATGAGTCTTATCATCTCTGAATTATGGAAGAGAGAAAAGAAAAAAGATAGAAAGGAACGGGGGATGGAAGGAATGAGGGGTCCCAAGCTCTGCTCAGAATGGGTGGGTTAACATAAGACCTAAGGGTAACCCCCTCTCCAGAGTAGGATATTATACTACTGATTGGAGTAAACCCTGGCATGGGACATTTAATCAAAACCCAGAGGCGAGATCTCAAAACCTACTACAAAGCTTACCCCCGAGCTCAGAAGTGTAGGGGAACACAGTAGCATCCCTCACACTGATGCTAGAGGGGATGGAAGCCCACCACCACCACACACACACACACACACACACACACACACACACACAGCGCTGCTGAAGAGGATAGAATTAGAAAACCATTGTTTAATAACCATTAAATAATCGTTGATTTAGGTAAGAATCGTCAGTGAAAGCTAAAACCAGTGAGTACAATCTTGAGAAAAGGATATTTACAAAGCCTCAGACACTTCTGTTGGGGTCTATCACTAAGGAAGTGGGGGATCCCTCAAGGTCCATTACCTGGGCTCCTTCTTCCAATCAGAGCCACCCAAAGCACCCTGTGGGCTGCTGACTGCTCCCCCTCTTTGCCCAGGTCATCTCCACACCCAACACCAATATCCAGCATAGCTCCCTGGGGATGTACCATTTCCCAGCCTTTAGGAGAGCGTGGAGTTCGGACCTCCTTTTTCCTTACCGTCTTGTGTCCTAGAAAAGCCTTTGTGCCTCTCAGGGCCTCCAAAGTCTCCCCACCTGCACAATGAGGACCATGCTGACACCACTGGGTGTAGAGATGATACCTGTAACGCCTGTGAGTACTGAGAGAAGGCCATGGGAAAGGGGGACAGGAAAGAGGTGACAGAGGAGGACAGAGGATGGGGCATAGAGAGGAAGAAAGAAGAGAGTGGGGGATGAAGGGGGAAATAGAGAAGAGAAAGGGGGAGCCAGACAGAGGGAGAGTCGGGGATGGGTGGGGAGAGAAATGGAGGGAGAGAAGGATAAAAAGAGGGGGAAATGGGAAAGAGGGTGAGTAGAGAGAAGAGGGGGAAAGAGAGAGGGATAGAGTAAGGGAATAGAGGGGAGAATAAGAAAGAGGAAAAGAGAGAATAGAGAGAGGAAGAGGAGAGATGGAGCTCTATCTCTAAAATACACAGGAAACTGATCTTGGTCTCATCCTCAGAAAACAACTGGTTGGCTGGGGTTGGGGGGAGGAAGTCAAGGGTGAAAGATGCTTTTCATTTTACCTTTTAAATTTTGACCCAATCTATTGTTTATACCAAACATGATTTGACTTAAAACAAAGGACCCTGCCTTTGCCGTCTTCTTTTTCTGTGGCCACAAGCTAGTAGCTTGGCGGAGCTGGTCTGGAAGTCGGGGCTGTCGTCACCTCTCGGGTTGACTGTAGAGCCAGAAGCTCTCACCAGGGAACCTCCCGGCCCTGCATCTGGAGCACAGTCGGTGCTGCTGTTGCTATGGGAACACTCAGCACCGATTCAGAAGCACCCCATCATCCCTGAGCCTCAGGTTCCCTCCCAATCCTCCTCGAGAATAACCACCAACCCAGACCGGACGAGCCCTGTAACTGTCGATCCCTCTCTGAACTATGTGCCTGGATGATCTGGTTGCCCCCCATCCCACCTCAACCCAGAATGGGGGGAGAGGGGGGGCAGGGACAGAATGATAAGAACGGAGGCCATGGTCCCACCGGTGCTGGAAGTGGTCACTTTATTGGTTGGAAAGAGAAGCTGTGGTCAGCACGGGAGGGAAAGCAGAGGCCAGAAAGAAGGGAGGGCAGCTGGGCTGGAGCCAGATGGAACCAGGTGGAAACTCCCACTCCCTCATTCCTCAGGCTGTGGTGGCTGAAACTGGAGGGAGAGAATCACAATAAAACCAACCATCAACAACAACATCCACAATACCAGGCGAGGTACTGCAGCTTCAGTTCTGGACCAAAGCTCTCCTCTCGCCGCCATTACCCGTCCCCACCCCCACCCCCACCCCCCCACCACCCCCCCACACACACACACTTCACCTGGGGCTCTGCCTGTACTTCTCTGCGGGTCCTACACTCACCTCTTCTGCTGCAGACCATCCTCAGACACACATGACCTTCCCGAGGAGCCACGGTCATTTGTCTCCCTGAGTCCCTCTGCCACCAGGAGGCTCCACCTTGCCTCCCTTCTTTGGGTTCATCTGACTAATATTCATCCCACTTTATAAGTAAAATACTGGCAGCTCGGGGAGCTGAGAGGCTAGTTACATGTCGTCGCTGAAAGCTGAGCCTGTGTCTTCCTCACTTAAAGCCTGGCCATGCTATTGGCACTCCGGGAGGGAAGAGAGGGCTGGAGTCAGTGAGTGCTCTGGGCTCTGGGAAGACCATGGTTCCCTCTCCCGCACTGAAGGTCACGCCTTGAAGTAGCAGCCAGGGGACCTTGCGCTTGTCCATCCCCTTCTCTGGGTTCCACTGTGACCCCCAGGCCCTTGGCTGAGAGCCTGTCCGAAGCAGCAGCAGGTCCACAATGAGATTTCCACCAAAGGGCGCTTCCTGGTTCTTGCTCTTTCTGTGTCCTCTGCCCGCAGCAGCCTCCTCCCTGCCCTGCACCAGGCTGCCCACCTCACCCTCGCCCTTCAGGACTGGCTTGGAGTCACCTCCTCTGGGAAGCGTGCTCAATCCTCTTCCCAGTCCTACCCGGGTGAGGTTTTCCTCCTGTTCCCGCCGCACCCCGCCCTTCCCTCCACAGCAGCACTGGGAGTGTCCGTCCATCTGTCCGCCCCAGCCAAGCAGCTGCAAGCTCGGTGAGGAAGGGCACCTGGCAGAGAGCTGGTGGCGCGGGCCGGCTCGCCCAATCGGCTGGCTGAGCACGGCTTCGCGTTGTGTTTTGCGTCACTTCCTCGCGTTTACTTTAGGACTTAATGTTTTATTTTTAGTTTTACGTGGGGACAGAGAGGCTCCGCAGCCCCTTCCTTTGAGAGGCGGCCGGATACGGCCCCACCTGCTCCAGAGGGCCCAACGCACACAGACACACATTGGAGGACGTACACTGATCTCTTCCATGTGCGTCCTAAAAAAAAACACCCCAAAACCCGAGCTTCTTGGCAAAAATACCAACTCTCCTGCTTCCCACTGGCCATGCCAAGAGCTTTCTACCCCCCCCCCCCCCCCGAGATCCAGCTGCTCCTCCAGCTGTTGACTTACATGCTGTGTTAAGGAAATGAAGGAGAAAATCTCTTGCCCTCACAGCTCAGTTCATTAGCAGATACTGTCCCAGATGCCCCATCACAGATGCCCCAAACCCAGCCATTGTCCTCCCCTGGTCTGTCATCTCCCACCTGGCATCTTGCAGGAGCCTCCTAGCGGCTCTCTCTCCCCTTGCTCCCGCTGCTGCCCCTAGAGTGCTCTCCACGCTGCAGCCAGAGCAAGCCTGTTCAAATCTCAGTCCGAGCACGCCCATTCCCAATGGCCCAGCATGTCTGGGTTGAGACCAAAGTGCTTATGATGGCTCGTCAGGCCCCTAGCAAGCTGCTCACTTACCCGTTCTCTCTCTGACCCTCTTCTCCCCACACTGCTCTCCAGCACGGCTCCTGCCTTCACACCGCTGCTGGAGCACTCTCCCAGGGGTCCTCATGGCTCCCCCACCCCTGGCTGTGGGTGTAAGAAAATATAACCCTGCTCCCTGCTCACCCCACTCCCATCCCAGTGCTCCTCCGTATCCCCCTTCTTTCCTTTTCCTCCCTGGCCCTCATCTCACTCTGACATTCTACAGAATGTGTTTGCTTATTTTGATTATTGTCTGCGAGCTTATAAACCCCATCAGAGAGGAATTTATGTCTGGTTTGGTCATCCATAAAGAATCCTCAGCACCAACAGCAGAACAGAGCACGTAACAGATGCTTAAGAAACATCTGTTGAGCTGAAACCAGTTTGGCTCCATGGATAGAGCTTCGGCCTGCAGACTGAAGGGTCCCGGGTTCAATTCCGGTCAAGGACAGGTACCTTGGTTGTGGGCACATCCCCAAGTAGGGGGTGTGCAGGAGGCAGCTGATCGATGTTTCTAACTCTCTGTCCCTCTCCCTTCCTCTCTGTAGAAACATCTGTTGTGCGGGTGAAAGCTGGTTCCCCTGGATCCTCCTTCTCCACCCCTGCAGGTGCCATCACTTAAGGGCACGTCCTCCCTCCTGTCCACATACCTCAGAAGACGGGTGAGACACAGGACACCTTCCCGCAGCCATTGAGGCAGCATTTCATCTGGTCCGGGCACTCGCTGTCCACCTGGCACTGGTCCCGGCAGAGGCCGAGTGGGGTCAAGGGTGAGTCCACCTTGGGGCAGGAGCCGGGCTTTTCTTCATAGAAAAAGGAGTAAGGGGAAGTGGGCAGAGGGATGTGCCAGGAGATAAACACTTACCCACAGCCGGACCCCTCCTCCCTCCCCCTCAGGCTCCCTCTCCAATGGTTTCAGAATCGCAGGACCTCAGAGTCCCAGCTCCGCCTTTCCCTAACTTTGTAGCCTCGGGCCAGAAACTCCCCAGAGGCCCACACAGTGCGGCCCACATCACGGGTGGCTGTGAAAGCAACTGGGGCAAGATATACCTGGTTAGTTCCCTCCGAAAAGGCAAACTCCTTTGCAACAACAATTGTAAGGAGTCACTAGAACAGCTGACATTTTCTTAGCTCCTTCTGTGTGTCGGGTGTCACTCTAAGCATGTATGGGCAGTAACTCGCTAATCCTCACAACAGCCCTCGAAGAAGAGCACAGGCGTTACTATTCCCTCACGTCACAGGTGAGAAACCGAGGCACCGAGAGGTTAAGTCATTGGCTTAAGGGTAGAAGCAGGATTTGAAAGCCAGGAGTCTGGCTCCAGTGTCTGTGTGCCCTGCACTGTGCTGCTCTGTAAACTGTAAGTGCGGTCACAATCTCTTTACTCGCTCCCGTATGCCTGGCACACACTCCATAACTCCCCCACGCACACTCCTCATCCACACACGCCAAGCATTCTCCATCACACACACACACACACACACACACACACACAGATAGCCACTTAGAATGTTCTTTGTGTAAAGTAAATGCACTATCTTCCTTCATCTGTCAAATATCTCCTCTGTAGGGGACATTTCTAACCACGTTCTTATCACAGATGAAGAGAATGAGGCACAGAGATGTGAAGGCACAACTCATCAACCACCCTGCTGGTCACCAGTAAAACCAAGGCCTGAGCCAGCCTTCCAATATCATTGTTCTCTCTCCCCCCCCCCCCCCTCTCTCTCTCTCACACACACACACACACACACACACACCCTAGGCTCCATTTCCTGGGTCAAGGAGAAGGGAGCTCGGCTTACTTCCAGAAGCCCAGGAGCGAGCCCAGCCAAACATCACCCACAGGCACAGGCACAGGCCTGGGTGCGGAGGACAGCGCCGACTTCTTAGCCCAGAGAAACCCGTTCCTTTGGAAAAGGCTGGGCTCTGGGTACCCAGCTGCCCAGCAGTTTACTGACAAAACAAGGCCCTGTGTACAGAGTATCTACTCTCTAATAAGGCATTTTACACGTATTACTTAATTTAACCTTCATGTCACTCCTATAAAATTTTAGCGCGACATGAGAACACAGGCTTGGAGGGGAAGTGACTCGCTCAGGATCACTCAGCTAGCAGGGGCAGAATCAGGATTCTAATTCAGGAGGCTCCCCAGCCTGCCTCAGTCTGTCCATCTCAGGCTCCGCCTAACAACAGAGACTCCTTGTTGGGGGGGAAGGGGTGGCATCCACCTCTCTCACCTATGGGTCTGCCTCTGGCTTCCTCTCCTGGTCTCCAGCTCTCCTTCTGCTCCTCCCCCCTCGGGCCTGGATGGAAGCCTCCAGACCCAGAAGCTGCCCCACGGGCCAGTCCTTTCTCTGCCTCCCACCTCCCTGGTCCTAAGTGTCTGAGATCTCTAACTACAAAACTTCCCGGCCCCTGCTGGCACCTGTGGAGAAGTCGCCAAGTATTCTGGGTCAGGCTGGTAATCACAGCAGTGGGTGCCCAGGCCAGGGCCCTGCTTCTAGAGCTCAGCTTCTCCCGGCGAAAACCCAGAAGCTTGGGTTCCATGCAGCCTAATGCCACTCCTGCTCCGAGGGGAGTTCCTGGCCTTTCTCACATTCTCTCCCTCCATCCCTACAGCGGGGGAGGACGTTTTGAAGAGGGGGAAGCGGGAGGCGTGCTCAGGGAAGAGTCCCAACTCTCTTCAAACCAGGGGAGCAAAAGGTGAGCCCCCTGGCTATGCCTGCTGCGGAGGCAAGGCTGGCGGTGTGAGCCTGGCGAGAACTCGGCCCTTCCTGGCTCTGAGACTGCCTCCGGCCTGGAGAGCCATCCGGGAAGGCTCCAGGCTGGGGGCCCTGCAGGGAGGAGCGCCGCAGGCCTGGGAACCGGCTCGCTGGCCAGCTCCGAACAACGTCCCTGCTGTGCGTGCCCGGAAGGCCGTCACGCACCAGAGACTGGAGTACATGCAGGGGGGGAGGAGGGGGACACCGCGTCCTCCTCAGCGACGCCGCCTTTGTTCCCCCAGGGTCAAGAGGAGCGAGCGCGGCCGATCTGGTTCCATCCGCCTGGGCGCTGCCAGGGGTCCCCGGGCTCGGGGCGCCCCCCCTGGAACCGCCCGCCCCGGGCCCGGCGTTACCGTTCGGCACCCGGCAGACGGCGGCGCAGCCCGCGCGGCAGCACTTGCTGGTGTCGGGGCAATCGGCATCCGAGCTGCACTCCTGCGTGCAGTTGAGCTCCTCCTTCAGCTCAGGGCACACTCCCGCCTTCTCCTCCGCCTCTGCGCCCGGGAGGGACGTGAGGACGATCACGGGGAGCCCGGAGCCGGGCCCGGAGAGCGCCCGCCTCCTGCTCCGGGGACCCCAAGTCTCAGGCTTCCAGGAATTCTCAGCCTCTGGCCCCAGGCACTCCCCTTGCAGCCTTCAGCATATCCCACTTCCAAGCCAGGGGTCCCCGCACCGGAGAGTGCAGGGGTTAGCGCAGCCTTGGCCCCAGAGCCCGCTATCCTCAGGGGACCCCCCCATCCTCAGGGAGGACCTCCCCCTATCATCAGGGGGGACCCTCCCGGCTGACAGTCTAGGAGCCCTCGGTGTCTAGGCAGAGGGTCCCCTCCAGCCTCTCCCCTGGCCCCACAGCCCAAACTACAAGGGTCGCCCCCTTAAGCACCAGGGATCCCCCATTGCTCTTCATGGGCCTCCCCACTTCCGCCCAGAACCCCTGCTCCTCCAGCCCGCGGGGAGGCTGCGCCTCTGCGGCTCCCGGCCTCCGGCGCCGGCCCCCGCCCTCACCTGTGACCGCGGCGAAGCGGAGCAGCAGGCCCAGGAGGAGGGCGGCGAGCGGGGCGGAGCGGCGGGCGGTCATGGTGCTGCGCCCGGCGGGTAGAGCCGCGGGCCCGGGTTGGGGGGATTTAAGGGCGCGCGGGGCGGGGGGCAGGGCGGGGCCGCCGGCGGGGGGAGCCGCTCCGCAGCGCGGGCGGGCGGCCGCCTCCTGCGGTTTCACAATCCCCCGGGATCAGGTGTCGCTCTTGGCCCCGGTGGGAACCAGGAACCTAATCAGCTTCCAGGCAGGCCAGGCTGACCAGCTGCAGCCGGACCCTGTCCACTCCCCTCCCCCTCCTCCCTCCGGGGCCTGGGGGCGGGGCCGGAGAGGAAAGGGCCCGGCCCGAGACTCCCGGGTTCCCGTTCCAAGACCCTGGGTCTCCCCTTAAAGCTCAGAATGTGTGTGTGTGTGTGTGTGGGGGGGGGGGGGGGGGGGGGGGGGACCACAAAGACACTGTATGGCCTGGGGATTAAGTGGTTGGATTTGGGGTCAGGGATTAGTGATGAGCTCTAGTGTAGGATAGAGAGCACACAGGAAGGGCTAAGGAAAAAGCAATTGTTATGAATAAATGAACCCATTTGACACAAGAAACGGATGCCCACAGAGGTGACCCGCCTATTCAGAGGTGAACTGTCTCCAGCAGTTCGGGCTGTTTCTTCCTCTTTCCCACACCAGCCATGGAGCCGCTGACTGGGCCAGGCTCCGTGCTCACTGCTTCGCGGGGTCCCAGCAAACCTGTGACTAGAGAGCTATGGTTGTCACCGGCTGTATGTGACGGACAAACTGGGTTAGGCCCTCCCCGAAAGCTCCCATGTGGTGCTGTAGAAACAAGGTTTTGAGTCCAGGTCTCCTTCTGTGCGAGCCCTTCTTCCCCCAACCCGTCATAAACACTCCCCAGGTGCCCTCTGTGGGACACATGCGGCCAGACACTTGTTCTAGAGAAAGGGATCAAGGGAAACGTTCTGCATTGGCCTTGAGGCAAGCGGGTCTAGGTCTGACAACATTCCCTATTTTTCAGCCGAGGGACCTTGGGTGAAGCACTGCCTTGTTCTGAGCTGCCATTTTGTCTTCTACGGAGATGTCAGTAACATCAGAGTGAAACGAGAACATGAGTGTGATGTTCCTGACATGGGGCCGCCGTGTAGTCATTGAGGGCTAGCTCCCCGTGATGGGCATAGACACCCACCCCTGATACACAATGGGTAAATGGTATCTACTGTGACTAAAGACACTAGTAAGTGTTGTGGGGTCGAACCCTGGGTTCGAAAATAAGACCACCGGAGGCTGATTAATTAATTTAAAAAAGCAGGCAAGGATTTATTGAACTGGCCAGGACAGCCGCTAGAGCACCACACACAGGTGGTCTCCACATGACTGCCCCGTTTCAGGGGTAGGCAATTCCTTTTAAAGGTTTAAACTGCAAGAATTTTCCTTTTGTTCCTAAATCCTAAAGACTAAATTCTAAAGACTGGGGACAGCCCGCAGGGTAGGTTCCAGTCACATCCTGCTGGACATTGGAATGTGGCCCTATCTTGCGATAGCACATAACACAGAAGCAGAGCTCAGCAGTTAGACTAGGGGTGTCGAACTCAATCAGAGAAGGGGCCAAAATCTAAAATCCAGCCTAAATCGCGGGCCGAATGGTTTACTGAACAGTCATAAACTGTCATTGTGATGGAAACGCAGCGGAGTGCAGTGATGACAGCACGGTGCGGGCCACATTGCAAGGCCTGGCGGGACGGATTTGGCCCGCGGGCCTTGTGTTTGACACATGTGAGTTAGACTCTAAAGGTTATCTACAGTTTCTATCCCCGAAGCTACTGAGTCAGTGGGAATCATTCTCCTGTGGTCCTGGTCCCAGGCAAGGGAAAATTGCCTTAGCCTCCAGGTCTTCACCTGGAAGCTGAGGTAAGTACCCAGTGTTCTAATCGGATGCAGAGGCCAGACTTAGCAGGGTTAAAATTCAAACAGCAGTTTTTTACCAAAGTATGGTTGCCACTATATTTCAGTAAATATATACCAAGCTTTAGAATATGCCAAGCAAATGCCAAGACAGAGTTACCCTGGGAGTTTGACAAGAAGTACCTTCCAGCCAAAACTGGTTTGGCTCAGTAGGGTAGAGCATCGGCCTGCAGACTGAAAGGTCCCAGGTTCGATTCCGGTCAAGGGCATGTGCCTTGGTTAAGGGCATGTCCCTAGTGGGGGGTGTGCAGGAGGCAGCTGATCAGTATTTCTCATCAATGTTTCTAACTCTCTATCCCTCTTTCTTCTTCTCTGTAAAAAATCAATAAAATATATATTTAAAAAAAAAAGTGCCTTCCAGTATCCCTACTCCAACAATCTGAGATTCTGCAAGTCCCAGGAGGCTTTGCTGCTGAAGGCTAAAGGGGATCTGGGGCTGCGGCCACTGGGATGACAAGTGAGTAGGGCTCACTTCCAGCCACTGTCCCCTCAGATGGATAAGGCTGAGAATGCCTCCCCCAACCCCCAACTGCCCTGCCAGCCTTGGGACTAGAAACATGCCTTCATTGGGAGGGGCAGGACTATTTACTCTGAGTTCAGAGAAGTCAACAGCAATGAAGCAGGAGCCAGGTGGGGGCACCCGCTGGGTGAGCTCCTGAAACTCCGTCTAAGGGACACAGAGGACTCTGGTGAGCAGCCGGTTTTAGCCAGTGGGGCCAGCTAGCTACTGGGCATTTCAGCCTTAGGCACTGCTGCCACAGCTTTTGTCGGGCACCTACCCAGCTCCTTGAGCCAGGAAACTGCCGGGCCTCACTGCTCCCCAGCTCTCATGGGCTCCCCCACCTCCCCAAGATTGACTCTCTTTTACAGGAATGAGGATTAGCCTGAGGCTGAAGGGACAGGGTGGGGCAGAGGATGGAGGAGAAATTCTCAACAGTCAATGGCCAGTGGCATGCAAAGATGTTTCACTTTTGTGATGCTAGTCTCTGTGCTAGGGACATCCATATATTTTCTATATTTTCTTTCTACATAAAAAGTAAAAAAGGACAGAGGCTTTAGAACCAAATACATTTAGGGCCAAGTCAGAGGCTGGCCACTTCCTGGCTATTAACTTAGAGCAACACTTTGCTTTTTGGATCTACATCTTCTTCCTACATCTTATTTTAAGGATTAAAGGCAAAAAGCATAAACCAGAGGTTGCAAATCTGGCTAAACCATGTTTATTGTTATCCCACACCGTATATTTTTAACATTTGAATTCATAGCCAAGACTTGAAAGCAGGGGATTTCACATAAAAATAAATGTCTAGCTTCTCTTAGAAAAAGTAAAAGACCTGGCGACATAGTCTTACAGTCCTATGTCTCAGTAAGTGGGTCTCAAATTTGAGCGACTATCAGAACCACTTGGAAAGCTTGTTAAAACACAGATTTGGAGATCTTCACCTGTAGTGTTTTGATTTTAGGTCTGGGATGTGAGGAGTAGGGTAAAGAAATAAAATGGAGTCAAGCTGCTATATTACCAAAATCAAGTAGGCTGAGATACGAGAAAACTACTCCATTCTTGCTTTAATGAGCCTGGGAATGTAAACTTTTGAACTTTCCAGTCATGCATCAATGCCTGGTTATATATCAAACCTCCAGATAGCCCTCTGATTACCCTCTGATGGACTCACGTATGCAGACCACTTGGCATCCATTGAACAGATCACTGGGCATGACCAGGCACCGGCTGGCATCTAGCCAATGACTATTGTGAATCAGTCTAGGATTGGAGGACTGATTATTCCCAGAATGTACTTTTTACTATAAGAACTCTTAACTTTTCTTTCTTCTTCGGAACGCTTCTGCGTCTTTTCCTAGTTGTTTCCAGTTTGCAAACCCCAAGACTCTTGAATAAATCTTTATCATTTATTTCTAGCAAAGCCTTCAGACTATTTTTTTTACTTGGACAAGTGGATCTGTCCAGCTGGTTCACTTTATGAGGGGGACTTCTTTCCACTTTCCTGTATTTTCCACTATTCCTTATTGTCTCACGTACCCTCACCCTCACTCTAGCTACTTCCATTCACATTACTTGCCTGGTCCAAAGGATGTTTAAATTGTGACCTCTGGGGTAGTTGAATAGTAAGTACTCAGTTAAAGGTAGCTAATATTTACTTAACAGTCTTATGTATTAAGTATTGTTATTACTGTACTAGAGGCCCGATGCACGTACAGTCTAATTAGCATATTATGCTTTTATTATTATAGATTACAAGTGAAGAAACTGGAATTCGGTTATGAAAGTGACTTACTGGAGGAAACACAGCCAGTAAACCAGAAGGAAGCATGCCAAATGCTTGTAGTCATGTGGTCACAATGATTTCAATATTACATACACACATCTGAGCTTAGCATAGATGATGCATCAAAGATTTTTGGACATGACTTCATGACCATAAAATAATATTTATCAGGGAAGAAAAGGAGGAAAGGAAATAAGAAGGCAAGAAAGGTTTACAATGGAAGGTGATATTAGTCAGATATAGGCACACCCACTCTAAGATGACTATAAACAAGTTCACCTTGAGGATTTAAAAATTCCCAGGAACAGAGTGTCTTTAACTGTACAAGGGGGCCTCGTCCTCTTGGGCCATTGGATCCACACAAACTTCCTTTTCTCCACAGAAAACTATCTCTCTGAGCATATTGGCTATTTTGTTGTTTTGTTTCTTAGCATCTGTTTGTCCATTTTCTGATTGCAGTACTCTTCCTCTACCCAGGACAGGCGAGGCTGCAGGACGTGGTGATCAAAGTGCTTGCCCTATCACCAGACAAAGACTGGCCAAACAGATGCTCTCCCTGGATTTTTAACCTTGAGCAATGAATGACTAAAGACCTCAAATGTACTTCACTCATTCAGAGGTGCCCTGGGAAGACTCCGTTTTGCCCTCCAACTCTGCTAGTTGCAGGATGAAGAATCCAACAGAGGCTAACTTTAAAAAAACAAACAAACATATTTTATTGATTTTTTACAGAGAGGAAAGGAGAGAGATAGAGAGCCAGAAACATCAATGAGAGAGTCATCGATCAGCTGCCTCCTGCACACCCCCCACTGGGGACGTGCCCACAACCAAGGTACATGC